TGCCTACGACCCTACGACTTAGAGGAAAGTGAGACTGTGAGACCTTTTTCAGAGATGCCAGAGCGTAGTGGAAAATGTAGACACAGGCTCAGAAGTTTAGGCAGAGATTTTTTTGAAAACAAAAATTCAAGAAAAATGAAAAGGTTTACAAAAAAGGAACTGCAATCCTTCAAGTGACTCTGAAGAATACTATTTCCATAGTTATAGTAAAAGCCCTGAGGAGATTTAAATGACCCATTGGGAAGCAGAGGGAAGGGGTGAGAGTGCCAAAGTGGTCAATTTCCCTCACAGGAAGTCAGCAGATACCCCAAGTGGACGACTCCTGAGAGCAGTGCTCACATACCTACCTCCCTAGAAGGCTCTCAAAGCAAACCACTGAACGAGTACAAAGTGACCGTTCCTTAAGTAGAGATTAGAAAGAGGAACAGGAGGCTGACGCTTTGTAGCCAAAATCTTTTAGCACTATTCGACTTTTTAAACTAGGTCCACAAATCACTTTGCTACAACGTGAAACATTTTTAAATGCCAACGATCCATTTAGAAAACTTTTACATTAAAACACCCCTCCCTTCCAATGACTACATCTAAATTTATAAAAAGCCAGCATGAATATTAAAAAGATGCTTTTTTAAAAAATAAAACCAAAAAAACAACAGTAGATAAAATAAATCTGGATATCTTTACTGCCTAAATTCTCTTGAGATTAAGTTTGCTAACTTAGCAAATTAAACACACAGCAAAAAGCTTATTTCCTATTCATGGCTTATGCAGGCTACATTTCCTACTTCTGACTCGACTTCCTGATTAAAGAAGGAAAAAAACTAATAAACCATTGATGAAATGTCATTCTTTTCTGCAAAACACTGAAAGTATCACTCAAAGGGAATAAGAAAGTGTTTAGTGAATATAATGGGAAATATTAATTCATCGAGTCCTAAAAATGAGTCCTAGATATCCTTTCAAGAATAACCTGATTATGTCCAGGCCAACACTGGTTGGGTCTTCTGCCCAGTGAGTCACGTGTGGGCAGGTAGCCCTCTCAGTTTGTCCTGACCCAACTGAAAACAACACCTGTGCCATCATCACCTGTTTACCTGTTTGGCTCTCCTAATGCAGTGTAAGCCCCTTGACGGCTGTAGCCAGGCCTTACTCACCTTAGTTGCTCCACATGAACAACAAACCTGGGTATCCAGTAGTTTCCCAATAAATATTTTACAAATCAAGGTACAAATTAGTGAGTGAGTCAGTATCAGACTCTTGTTCAACCTCCTTTGAAAATGTAAATCCAGATACCTATCTTTTTAAAGGAACAGGATAAAACACGTATGTATAACTGCTAGTGAATCTTTGCATAGCCCTTTATAAATATGAGGATACACTGGAAAAGTCAATTGCTTTTTTCACAAGAAGACTTAGCTCTTCTGTCACATATCTGAAGAGAAAGGTCAATAGAAATCTTCAGGCTTTGTTTACCTTTCAGAATGTCTGAATTCCCTGTTAAAATTAATTAAATGTTCTACTTGTTAATCGCCACTAGCACAGCCCAGAAAAATAATCTGAATTTACTGCCAGGTGTCTGGACTTCAGCAGAAAAAGGAAAAATTATTACAATGAAAACGGTGATGAGTTTAAGGCGTATCAATCATCATATGCTATAGTAAATACCTTAACTTTAGAAATGTGCGTCCTGGGCAATCATGTAAGAGCACATATATAATATACGGTTACATTTAGTCAAATACACATACACACTGGGCACCTAAATCACAAATAGTTTCTACATGGTATGCTCATGTCACAAGTAAAACCCAGCCATGAATGGTACCAAAGCAGTGACTTGTAACTGTGGGAAGTGCAGGCATAAAAACCATCTAGGAAACTTAAAATTATATTCCTCCATCCTATTCTCTCTCCGTCTCTGTCTCTACCAGAAGGACTATGGTTCTTTTATCCCCTCTTTTTTCGGGTTAGTTTCTAACCCCTAAGAACTGGAATGTTTTCAGCCTTACATGTAGTCTCAACTCATGAAAATCATAGCAATCAATTAAGGCTCATTTTCTAATTTTTATATTTTAGGCATAGCCTTAATCTAAATGTATATGGTGTGCACTGCATTTTGCAGAAATGGTAATGACAGAAGGTGACTTCTTAGCATTACATTTTAAAGAAAATCTCCTATCCCCCACCCAGGACCAAAATTTATTATAAGTATGTTTATATAGCTTTATCTATAATAGAAATTAGCCAAATATTCAATAGCAGGGATTTGGTTAAATAAATTATAATACATGTTGCTGATAGGATGCAACTACTGAAAATTATGGATAAGAATATTTAATTGCATGGGAAAATATGGAGTAACAGTATATTCAGGGTTTATGCCTTAGTAATAAAAGCTGTGCTTAAATAATAAACAAAAGATAAGAATGTTAATAATTGTTATTTTGGATTATGGGTTAACAATATTCCCAAGGCCCAAGTAAATAAATAAAATGGAAGAGGTCAGACAATAAGGAGTAGTGGGGACTGTGGGAAACTGAAGCACACATGTCCAGTCAATATCAGTCAATAAAAACTTTTAACACTGAAGGCCAAACAACACAGTCACTTTATGATTCCTGAATTTGGGATTTTCTTCCTTGTGTTTCTGTACTTTGCAAATTTCCTACAGTAATTATATAATACTTCTTTAGCAGTTATTTAAAAACTTGAAGACAGCCACATTGGTAAAATTCAAGAAAAGACCTTCATATTTCATTGATGGCAAAATATTTTGGTAATATTTTAGCCAGCAGGTAAATTGGAGTGATTGTGGCAAATTTGTAGTATTAATAATAAAAATGAGTCTCACAAATTATGGACAAAAGGTAGAAAAGATCAGTCTCCCCTTTTTTTTTTTTTTTAGAAATATGTAAAGTAAGGTTATCCCAAGGTCACGCAGCAGAAGGACTGAGGTGGCCAGAAGGGCTTGACACAATGCTGGTGGAAGTCTGGCCCGTGCTTTCTAAGGTGGGTATCTAAGCAGTCTTGGTATCCAAAGCAAGTGCACTCAGGAGATGAAATCTAAACAAAACCTTAGCTGAATGGGGAGGACAGCTACCAAGGGAGAAACTTCACTCACAGATGGGGAGAAATCAGAGGTGAGAGCCAGCCGGCCAGGCCAGGCCCTAGTTGTTAAGGCTACTGAGTCAAGAGAAATTGGAGGACAGGCGGCAGCTGGGCAGGACGATTCAGGACGAGACGAGCTATGCTCCCAAAGCGCCCTCCCGCTAAGCTGCTCTGAGACGTCATCTTTATGTCCATCCTGCTCAGACGCAGCGGAAGGCGACCCATCAGTGCCTAAGAGGTGCTCATGCTTTTGTTCATTTTTATGTTCATGTGAGATGGCGAGTCTTCTCCCCTTTATAAACTAGTAAAGAGATAACAAACCCAGGTCCCACTGACTTCAAAGCCTGTACGGAAGTCACACCCTTCCTGTCTTGAATCCAATCTCCAAGCCTCACAGTAGTTTACTGACCTCAAAGTGGCCTGCGCAGGCGCACGGGAACACGGGGCCAAAGCAGGCTTCTTCAGGCTGGGGTGTTAGCCACCCACCCTTCAGGTCAGGTCCGAGTCCGAATGGTCTAACGCCTTCCCCACTTCTCTCACAGTGCAATTCTAATAAGAACATCAAAAGGTGCACCAGTTCCTTAGGGAGCTACACAAATAATTAACATCCCTAATTCATAAGCGTACGCCAAAAATAATGCAGTATCAGCTGACTGAAAATATTAGAACAGTTGCTCAGTTTTGCTTTGAGGTGTGTATCTTTGAAAAGGGTTGACTTATCAAATATACATTGTTTATGATGTATATAGTTCAGCCCATCTTCCAAGTAAACAGTGGATTATAGTTATTAAATAAGCATTATTTCTTGCCATTTTAATGTGTTTTTATTAGAGAACAGAATAGATGTTTGTGACTGTGGTGAGGTCCACAAACCCTTAGGACACAAATGACTCTTTCTATCCCAACCCATGGAGGCAGTGATAACTAATGTGTAAAGTGGCACTCCCCCCACCCCGCATCTTCTTATTCCCACGGGAAACATCAAACCTCCCAAAACATAACCATCATCTATGCCGAGGTCACTTAATCGCAACATTCACAAAGCGGGCTCAAAGGAAAGCAAGACAGGTGAAAAAAAAGGTGAACCCTATCCACAAAAACTACATGTGATGATTCCAAACTATCAAGGTTACATTGTATTCAGAAAAAATGTATTTAAGGTAATAAAGTATCTAATATACTTCAGAAATATTATATCTGAAAATAATTAAAAAGCATTAGTGTTTAAAAAGATAAGTTTTTATCAGCTGAAAGGTTTCCTCACAAGTCTTACTGAGTCTCATGCTTTAGGAGCGTAGAATAAACCACCTCCACAGAAGATACAGAAACACAACTTTAATGATTTAAGGTAAATAAAAGGAAGTTTGAATCTATGATTGAAAAATGAAAATAATTACAAGTATATCTATGCAGAAAGTACAAGTTTCAAAAATTTGACATCAATCAACTGCTGTCAAAATAAATATTTAAAGAAAGCAATATGCCCGGCCGGTATGGCTCAGGGGTTGAGCGTCAACCTATGAACCTGAGGTTGCGGTTCGATTCCTGGTCAGGCCATATGCCCGGGTTGCGGGCTCGATCCCCAGTGGGGGGCGTGCAGGACGCAGCCGACTCTCTCATCATAGATGTTTCTCTCTCTCTCTCCTTCCTCTTTGTAAAATCAATAAAAATATTTAAAAAAAGGGCAAGAATAAAACTGCTTAATAGTGGGGAACAATATACAACAAAGAGGGGGGCAGATGGACCAAGAAAAGGAATAAGGGAAAGCAAGCAACATCCCCACAGGTGTTTTCACAAACAGGGATTCAGATCAGAGGATAGACATACACCTGTCTAGGAACAATAAGCTAATAGAAAATGATGAAAAGTCAGCTATAAATCAAAAATGACAACCCAAATCCCAAAGCATCCTAAAATCTCCATGCAGACACGAGCTAACTCTCAGATCTGTTTGGTGCCACGGTGCTCGTCATTCTCTGTTAGAATGAACTGCAGGACACACATTACTGGGGAGAGTCTCAGAGCGAATTCACCCTTGAAGGTCAGGGTCAGCAGTATATTACTGTATTCACATATTTTCTGATATGGAAAAGTAACATGTCTAAGAAGAAATTAAAGTAAAATTTATTTTGAGTTATCAGCAGAATCTCCAACTTTCAAACAAGTGAATCTTAAAATGTCCATTAACTTCCAATGGTCATCAAACTGCTCTCTCTGGCCTGGTAGTGACCAAACTGAGAGGTCTCACAGTGTCTTTCTTTCCATTCCTTAGTTATAAGAACATTCAATTTCTAGAAAGACTTCTTAAAACATGTTTTAAATGATCTAATCTACCTTGTGGATTCATAAACAAGAACACTCAGACTCGAGTAACCTCCCCAGGTCTTCCCATTCTCAGGTGGTCTTCTGTCCACTACTCCGCAGCCTTGACTGTCCTGCTGTTTGAGCAAGTTCTTCCCACTCCTACCTCTAACCTCCAGACTTACTGTTACTGCTCTTTGTACCATCTGTATAAAATCTGTTCTATATCAAGTAATCCCCAACTTCTGCCTCTACAGCAACCTAAAAATTAAAACAAACAAAAAAACTCCACAAAAAAATCTTCATGAAGGAAGAAATTAAGACCTTCAAAAAAATATTTTAGCAATAGGTACCAGAAAAAGACTGCTTCCTAGTTTAATTTATTAACATTTGATCAACAATTTGCTAATCTGATGAGACCTTCTAAGAAATATTGATACTAAAATATGTTGGAGAAAATGCTTGAAGTATGCATTCATAGAGATAAATACAGCAGCACACCGACAGTCAACCATAAGCAAGTGTACACGTAAAAAGATGTGCCATGAGCCCATGCTGATTTTCACCACCAAAGGTTCAAATCATGATTTCCTGGTTAGAGAGGCAAGATAAAAATAAGGCATAAAAACATAGATGCAGACATGCAAGTAAATGATAAGAAACTCAATAAACACAATGTAAAATGAATACAACTGTAGACAGGAGAAAAAGTTAACACCTATGGTAACACATGTCGGCCAGGTGCTCTATTTTCATCACAATAAATTATGTGACAATATTCTTTGTTTACTAAAGGGTGGCAAGTATTGCTGCTGGTGGCAGGTGTGTATTATTTCATCAAAAAACACTAATAGGCTTAGACTTTAATGATAACACTTGTATATCAACCAACAATTCTGGAACTCTCATTAATCTTTGATAGCTGATAATTTGAGTAGAAAGACATGATAAATCAAAACATATGTCAGTTTTTCTTAAAGATCCTTCAATGCAAGCTCAGCATCTAAATGGTAAACATAGAATAAATTCCTAATCTAGCATAAGATTTTTTTAATTAAAAAAAACAAAACATGTATGAGTGAGTGTGCCCGTTTATAAAACTGTGACTGATTAAAGCAGTGAGGCAGTTGGGCTCTCACACTGTGCTCAACCTGAAGTGCTCCTGTGGTGCATGTTCAGCTGTCAAGTGGGAGCAGCTCAAAGGACATCACACAACCTATAAACCAGCTGGAAGGAGCCACCCAGACTTTGCCCTGCCTAACCCTCTCGGGGCGATGGCTGGACAAGTCCTCGTAGATGATGTACTGTGTGCAGAAGCGTTGATCGGAATCGGGTCTGGCATGGTAGGCAACGGTGTTGATGGTCTGAGTCACGTCGCTGTCCGGCTTGGGCTTCCTCATGAGGATCTGGCCCCCAGCTGCAGTGACGAGCTTAATAAGGTTGTCCTTTGGATGGTGTTTGAAGATTCCTCCCAAATAGAAGTAGCATCCATCAAACAGCTTTGGCAACTGGAATAACAAAAAGAACAAAACAAAAAACCTGTTAAAAGCAGATCAAAATATTTTAAAACACTGCATATAAATGAGGGAATTAAAAATACAGTCATGATCAGTTAAGGAGGTGCTGGGATGAGGTGAAAAATACTTATGCATTTATAGGTTTCCTAATTATTATTTTTTCCCTAAGACTTGGTCACTATCTTGGGTACTTTTGACTGTCCTCAGATTTTAGGTGTGTTTTATATAGAACAAAAACTGTTCATCAAACTTCTTTTATCGGAAAGTTTGCTCATATTTGGTGGGACTTAAAAGCCCAAGATTCCTGGGTATCTGAAACATGCTTCAGGGATACAAGCTAAACTTAAATGACAAATATAACACTTTTTCCATGGACCTTTATCTAATTCTGCCCATCTGTATTCAGGTCCCCGTATATTACCAACCTAAGGTCTCCAGAGCGGCTGCCTCGGAGTGTGGCCTCCAGGGTTAGGGATGTATTCCTTGGACCTGGGGCACCATACATTACGCAGCCATGGCTAAGGACCCAATTAGCTATGAAACACACTTGTGTGTGCTTTATGAAAAAAAGTTTCAGAATTCCCTTGCATGAAAATTTTTCTTCATCATTTCTAATATACATCAACAGGATAATGGACTATTATCCATTAAAACTGCAATGTACGGCAATAAAGACATATGGCAACTGAATCTGAGCAGCAGCGCTAAGTCTCCTTTTAAGTCACTTCCTGTATCTGCGACTTAACCTCAGATTCTGAAAGGTTTATGGCAATGTTCAAGGTGCCAAAAACCCATTACCGCTATGAAATTATTACCTTCTGGGTTTTACTGCTCACCGTGATCATCTCTCAGAATCAAGTGCTTGAAATAGGACAATTAAAATTTTAATCAGTCACCTATACTTGTTGAAAGGGCAGAAGTTTTTCCTGATGGAGATAATAATATTCACATACAGTAAGAACAATGAAAGCGGTGGCGAAAGACAAATACCAGCTGTTCTCTGTTGCGCCTGCTTCGCTGTGGCCCCGCAGGGATCTCGTACTTCTCTTCCTGCTCCCACCGCCTGCTCTGCAGACATGCCTGCACCCCTGACCAAAAGCAAGAACGCAGAATAAACATCGAGGGAGCATTGCTTCTTCCAACTGGAAGCATGTTGCCTAAGTGGTTTTTCTTCTTCAGGGTTAAGTATTATTTCAAAGTAGAAACAGAAACTTTACTTATGCTAAAACAAATGTAATAAAATGGGCTTTCCATAAAAAGAAATTTTAGAAATCTCTCCTTCAGAGGACTGAGCAATGAGGTTGTACTGAACACTAACAAATGAAACTCTACATTATCAAAATGAAGGTGAACAAAAAGGCCCTCGTTGCTCGGCCCCCAGAGATCTGAACTTGAACGCCATCGTCCGCATGCTCACTGCCGCAGTGATGTCTCATCTCCTGTTAGACTATGAGCAATCTGCCACGAAGGAAAGTGTTTTGGCCCAAAGCACCTAGCTCAGCTGGCCACACTACAGGGGTTCCGCAGTGCTTGTTAAAATCAACAATAAGCAGAGCAGGAGACATATTTGGGATCTGACAGGTACACAGTGAAGTCACCCTTTTAGGGATGAGTTGGTGAGCGTCTCCAGGGCCTTAGAGCTGCTTCAACTGAGATGTTCCGAGATGCTGCTCAATACATGAAAGTCAGAAGACTGAACAATCCAACACTCCGTCTCTCCAAAAGCAGAGCTTTGTCAGGAGACTACATTTTTTTCTTGACTTGGGGCTGGGAATGCACATTCCAAATGCAACACTAAACCTTGGCCTTTCTATAATGCCCTGTCACGTGATTCTTAATTTGTTAGTCTTGCCTATGTTTTAGTGTCGCTTTCCCCCCATGTTTTTAATACAAGAATCATATTTAGCCACGTCTGCTATGCTGAATGTCTAAGTCTTATTCTTTTCACTGATATATCGCAAATATCATGGATCTATAAAAATTGTTTTCATGTAATAAAAATTATATTTTACAAATAGTGTAATTTTTAATAATCACTCACTGAGTAAAAAACTCTCTTTCTGATGAAGCTAGTATTAAAATAGTAACTTTACTGTGTATTGAAAATGAGTCTCAAAATTTCTGACTAGGTCAAAGTATCATCCCAGAAACATTGCCAGTGTGTTCGCATTACATCATTTACTATTTCCATATTAAACACCAACCCCCAAAACATTAGCAATCTAGCCAAATCACTGACTTACATCACACTCATTATTTTACATGTAAACTATTACTTCTACTTTTTACCAAGCAAGGAGCCCCTTTCTAAATCTCCTTTCCTAATGGTATTTACAGAGCATTCATAACAGAATCTTTAGATAAATGAACATTCCAGTCTATAAAGCCAAGGACTTAACCCTGAATACTCCGATGGTATCTGCTGTAACAAGTGGATGGCTAATGTCTAATTACAGAAATCAATAAATGGCTATGCCCATGCTTGTTGGTTACCCATTATGGTTTTACTTACTTGTCAAAAACGCATATTAAGATAGTATCTATTGATCCCAGTAATGTGCTATCATTTTGTAGAAATAGAGGAATGACTTACTATCTTATTAAAACTAAGAGATTCTTTTAGCCCAGATGTATTCCTGATCAGGTCTACATTTCAGGTAAGCTTTCCTTTGGCCCTGATCATTATTACTTTGTTCATATATAGTAAGCAGCCCATTCCCAAAGTACTGCTTACCTCAAAGTCATCAATGAAGCTCTGGCTACCTTAGCAAAGTCTGCAATATTTGAATACTAAAGCAGCCTATGAATTCTGGGCTACAATATATATGTGTATATATATATATATATTATATATATATATATATATAATATATATATATATTTTCCCCCCCAAAAAGAAGCTTGTACTATACAGAAAGGTATTCCTATAGTATCCACTCTTACCTCCTACCTCATAAAAGCATCTATATCTGCGTATTTTCATTTTAGCTGCATGACCCAATGATGATATTCATGGATCTCTATTAAGCTTAGTCACTTTCCACCACTTTAGAGGGAAAAAGAACATACAAATGGAAGGGAGTAGGAAAAGGGGTTCTTGAAACCAGTGCTACACAAATGATTACAGAATACAATGAAGACAGAAGAAAGCTTCAAGATGAAGATCTGCTAAATGTCCAAAGGGAGAAATTGCCCTCCACGGAAGATTTACTCAGTCTCTTCAAAAGCTAGTGCAGTAAATAAATCCATATGTTAAAGAATTGTTATTCTTCTGGAGCTACTGTAAAAAGTAAAATGAAAGCTAAGTGCACCACTCATGCCATCATAAACATCTGGATTTGTAACTGAAATAGCACTGAAACTGAGAATTAAGTATCACTCAGTTAACACCGAATGTCATGAAAACAATTAAAATACAGAATCAAACATCACTCTGTCAAAAACAAAAGTCCTAATAAATATGTCATCAGATCCCAGCTATGAACTTAAATAACTCAAGACAACAGCACGTTAAAAAAAAAAATTGTTTGAAGGATTCCCCTTCTTATTCTATTAAAAAAATAACACCCATGTTGTAAAAACAAAAGAATTTGTTTCTTACATGCTTTTCTATTAGGCCTTTTAGTAAACTAGGCAAGAAAAAGAAGAAATAAGGCTATGTTATGAAATTTCACAGTAAAGTGCGAAAGAACAATGAAATAAAGGTTAAAAAAGTAAAAAAAAAAAGTTAAATGCTCCACTCATGGCAGGATAAATATCTAGATTTGGGATATCACAGAAAACACTGCCACAGATCGTTATTTGTGATCCCATAGAAACACCATTTTAACAGCTAGTTATTTCCTGATACTTTTAAGCCAGTATTCTAATTATAAATATATTTATACATAAAAGCATATTTCCTAATATGATAACATGCTGTATTTATTTTACTTAATGCATATTAAGAAAACAGGTAAAATTCTATCAAAATATGTTACTGTTTCATAAAATTTTCTTAGGCAAAATTTGAGTAGCAAATCTAAAACTTTATAAGTAACAATATCGAAATAATTCTTCTCTTTATAGATGTGGTTAAATGACCAAATGGGAGTTTAATGTCCAAAAATTTTCTTAACAAAATAATTTAAAAACTCATACTTGGTGTTCTTTTTCAGCCACATATTTAAAGTTCAAAAATTTATGTAAGAATATAAGAATATGGTGATTAGGACAACCACCATATCAAAATGTATTTGCTAGGTCTGCATAACAGGTATAAAAAATCTGCGGTATCAGATTGGAGACATATACACACAGGTTCTAATTTCCCTGATAGAGACTGAAGCCTTTACCTATCCAATTACTCTTTGGAAAGGCTAAAAAGAACATGTTATTACAACTTGAGACCCTGAATTTCTTCCTAGAGAACGTTAATTCCATTTAACAGACATGTTGTTTTTAAAATGGTTATAAACAGACACCTACCTACTAATCCACTATGGCTTTCTTTTGATTATCCCTTTGCTGTATGCAGTCACACACTTACATGTTGTTGAAGGTAAAGATATAATTGTCCTATACATTTTAAAATTGAAACAATGCTGTTTTTCATTCTGTCTTAATAATCATATAAAAATATAAATTTTTTTCAGAGGATGTCTTTAAACCTTCCAGAATGTTCTTAATTCTCTCACATTTGGGTATTCCCCCTACTTCTTGCTATTAGAAATAACAAGACAAAGAGTTTTGTTTTTTGCTTTTTTATCTGCATTACTTGCTTAGGGTAAATTCTCAGAACGGAAATTATTAGACCAAAGAATGATACAGTTTTTTTTTTAATTCTTGGTAAAGAGTTTCTGTAAGCATGAAGTTGCTCAATCAATCTTAGTTGACAGAAATGCTTTGGTATATTTATTTTTTTATAATTAGCAAAGTTTAAATAGAAAAATAATTACATTTATTTTTAAATTTCCACAGCACTTTTAATATCCATTTGAAGAAAGATGTTTTAATTGTAAAAGTATGTTAATCTGATTATGAGGTTTTTAATAAAATGATGTAATGATTGTCTTTTAGGTTCCATCTTCCTCAACTACAACAAAAAGAAACACCACCCTATCTGGCCCTCCCCCACCTCACAGGCTCAAGTCCAATGTCAATGTTTGGCATATTCCTCCAGCAATTCCCGTAGGTGCTGAGGCCTTTCAAAACTTCTCCAGCAGCAATTTTATTTAAACTTAGGTGAGGTGGAGAAGAGGGAGAGATTATTAAAGAAAAGATGACAGCCATCTGCTCTTCCTTTCATAATGATGAAAAATGAAGAAGTAGAATTCTTTTTTTTTTTTTAAGGTTAGGCTAGAGGAAATTTTGAAAGCAGTGTACTAAAAGAGCAGGTCAGATGTTTTTTCACTGACAGCTCATTTACATCTTTAGGATTCAGATCTACCTTATTTATACTCTAAGCGAAAAATGAAAGGACATTTATGTATCTTCCATTGTTTCATTCTAGTCAAAATTCACCCTTACACAGAGTTAGTTATAAGTCCCCTGTGAGGAGGTAGTGCGAAAACCAGGACTAAAACAGAATCTCAGCCACAAATTTAATCTTGAAGAAGGAAATTTTCCTGTCTGTAGCTCCCATTTCTGTAAAATATCTATAAAATACATATGATGAGACAGAATAGTACAACAGTAAAATTATGGCCCATTTTCAGAACCTTCATGCTAAGTCCATTAAGTGTACCAGTCTAATACATTCTACATATATAATGTAGAAATAAGGGATACTGACCAGTTAAGACAAAACATGTTTGTTTAAACAGAAAACTTCCAATAAATTGAATAGTTTTTCTTTTTGTTAATTTGTTTAAGTTTGTAAAATAAGTCAATTATCTACAGAGATCATTTAGATAAAATTTCCTCTTGAATCTACATGGTTTGTGGAAAATCCCATTAAAAGGTATCATATTAAAGATTCTACATAGTTAAGCCAGTATAGATTTTGTCACCAGCAAGCTAATGAATAACTTCAAATACAATATCTAGCTCTAATAAGTCACAAATCTTTACAATTAATTTTAAAAGCTTTGCTCCACATTTTCTTTGTTTAATATACAGATAGTTTTCAGGTAGTTTTGAATAGCTCTGAACATTTTTTTAAAAAATCAAACCAGATGCCTAAGACTAAGAATATGAAAACTGTGAGAAATATATATTAGGAAAAAAGGTATTTTGAGGGTTCTTGCCTACTTTTTATAAACCCGGAGACTGTTTAAAGTAATTGTCTCAGCCCTACGCCTATTTCTCTTTGGACTCTGTATTAGAAAAGACGGGAATATGAACTTCACTAAGAGATCCCATCCATCCCTTACACCAAAAGAACCACTGATATTAGAATGATATTCACTACTGTGAGAATCACCAAATAGCACACTATTAAGTCAGCTTGAGTCCATCAGTGATTCTATAAAAATGACACGGCCAAGCCATTAAATTGACAAAAACTTCCATTTCTTAAAGGCGGCAGATTTTACGGACATGAATCACGTGGCCTATATATGTAACCAAATGCAAGTTCAGCATATTCACAAGACCCATATATTCAAAGTTAAGTGGTAAATGCAATACCATTCAAAATTTCACATGGCTTCTTTATTACTGAGAACTTATTATTGTGAAAATCTATTCCTTCCTATAACCACTGGCACGATTTCTGACAGATTCAGTACAAAAGCATCTATAATCATGGAACTGTTTTAAATCAATTTTTTAGACTTGCCACAGATTTGAAAGGGAAAAGTTTCAAGACACAGGAGTGAGACAGAAAAAAAAACCCTTTTTTCTTATGTAAATGATTAGTCCAGGTGCATCAAAGTTTTTAAACTGGTCATGACTGGGGGAGATTAATAGCAGACTGATAAGAACAGAGGGTGGCTAGTCACAGCCACTTAGCTGGGCAGGACACATCAGTGGAGGCTAACATCACAAGACAAGTGGTAGCTGCGTTTAAAAGGAAACGAACATCACCCTGACCATGTAGCTCGGGAGGTTAGAGCCTCGTCCCAATAGTCCAAAGGTAAGGGTTGAATCCCCGGTCAGGGCACACACAATAATCAATCAGTAAATGCATAAAGAAGTGGAACAGCAAATTGATGTTTCTTTCTCTCTCTCCCCCCGTCTCTCTCCCTTTCTCTTCTAAAATCAATAAATAAAAAACTTTCAAAAAGGACATGAATACCAAATGCTAAAACAGTTTTACATACCAAATCAAATTCAAACTACAGATTAAATTAATATAATTAAGATCTTAATAAATCAAGCATTTCTAATAAATCAAGCATTTCTACCATAAAACCTCCAAAGCACAAAGCCACAAAACAAAGTTTTTAAAAACTAATTCTGATCCATTATTTGCTTCTTAAAAAGAAAGTTTCATATCAAAAATATACACTATTCTTTTTTCCTTCACTATTTAATTTGAAATAATTTTAGATTCATAGGAAGCTGCAAAGGCATGTACAGGGAAGTCCCATGCACCTTCCTCCAGGGGCCAATGTTATCCTCTTACAAAACTATAGCACAATATCCAAAGCCAGAAGCTGACATTGATACAATCCACACAGTGTGGTCAGATTTCATCAGTTATGCATGCACTCGTGTGTGTGTGTGTCTGTGTGTGTGTGGTATGTGTGTAAGTAGATCTATAATTTAATTACCTGTGTAGCCTTGTGAAAGGGAACCACTACCAGAATCACGATACTCAACTGCATCATCACAAGTCTTCTCCTGTGACCCCCTTTACCACCACTATTCTTTCCTAAACCATTAGTTAACAAAAAAGGTCAATCCACTGTTCTAGTTTAGCCACTGTAACAAAAGTAGATACTTTTGCTATTCAGTAGAAAATAACCCTGTATGCGCTATCTTTTTATTTGTCTTTAAGTCCTCAGTGAATCCAAGGTTGAGAAAAGCAAACAAATAAGAGTAGGGAAGGTGAAAGGAGGCTCTGACAGCAGTGGTGTTTCACTATTAAAAAGCAGCAGGCAACGGGAATATATTTTCAAGAGAGGTTTAGATAATAGCTGGGGAAACTGCCCCAAATCAGGTAGTACAAGGCAGTCTAAATTTCCCAGCAGCTTCCTAAAACATACTGAATTAGCTAAGAAAGCAAAAGGGTGTTTACATATAAGTTTTTAGAAATCATAGAGGGAAAGCAATAAACTACTTTCATTTCATAATAGTATTTTTAAAACATGCATTTATTAAGTTAAATGTATCATTTAATAGTAATATGGGTTGCTTGGGCTTAAAAGTCTACTATATAATCCATTTATGCTTCATTAAAATAGCTGGTATTGTAGGAAAAAAGACTTTCAAACCAGAACATATCTGTGGACATTTATCAAGAACATCAAAATGATACCATAAATATGACAAGCTTTTGCAAATGCAGTAACTAACCAGAGGTAAGAAAATTAGTATAACTTCCTTAAATAATTATTGGCAACACTGAACTATGAAAAATGAAATTAGTCTACTGAATTCATTTTGTAATTCTCCCAAATTTAACACTTACATTCAAATTTTAGGATCCAGCAGCCATTGAGAATCCCAAGCATACATTTCAGGGTACTTTGAACTGTATCACCAGGAATGATGACATGAGTCACTAGAATACAAAAAAAAAAAGGAATTAAGAAAAGCAGAGATATAAACCAATATAATTCTTTAACCAGTCTGCACTTTATAGCAGTTAGTCTACACTTCATAAACTTCTACCTGAATTTTCTTCAAAAACAATTTTTATACTTAGGTGTAAGAGTTCTTTTATTATCATTCTCTAATCTGGACACCAACATGAAAAATCAGATCATAAACCAAATATCTTAAAAGCATATGCCATTGTTTCCTTTATTTTCAAATCAAAACTGAGGAATTAAAGCATTACACCACTACAATTTATTTATCATTAGCAAACTCATAAATTTGCTCTTCTGACCTATTGTTCTGTCCTAAACTAAGGGCAAAGCTTTAAACTACATTTCCTAACCACATTAAGCCTATAAGTAGTTTATAGCTATAGAAAGATTTTAGATTTATAACAAGATTCAAAGTATAAAGTCATACCCAATGGAGTTCTACAAATGGAATTACCTATTCAAAATTTTTTCTACCAAAAATAAATAAATAATCCTCACCTGTAGTGTCAAACTCAGCACACTTTTTAGCCTTGAGAATTGCCGCAAGCTCACTGAGCATTTTCTGTTGCTCTGAAGAAAGCCCGCTGCCTATCAAAACAAGAGGTCCATCCCTACGCCGAGCAGTGTGCACCTGTAAATAGAAAAGGAGATGCCACAGTGTTAACAATATTTAAAGACTAGAGAAAGCTATTAAACTGACCTTCACTTGATGTAAGCTTGAATTTCAAGTAGCTTACTCTATCTACTAATTTCCATTGATTCATCACCCAAAACCTTAATGCTCAGTTCACTTAAATAATTATTTTTTGATTTCTTTATCCCCACCCCTCCCACCAATTAAAACATTACTTGGGGTAGCTCTTTATACTCAGGGCATCTTGCTTCCTTGATTCCAAATTGGGTCTCTTTAGGGTTTTACAACTTCATTCTGTCACCAGTAAACCCGGTGTTTGTTTGTTTGTTTGTTTGTTTTTAAGTAACCCAAAATACCCATTTAAAATGATCAATTCCCTGTCTCCTCCACTAACTTATTCTAGTAGAGTTGAACTCAAACTTGGTCTGTTTAGTTTAAACTGAGATTATGTGAAAAGTCAAAAGAGCACGCAGACTTCTAGAACAGCAGTGACCTCAAATTTAGAAACAAATTTTTAACACTGAAACAGTTACCTTTCAAAACCAAGAAAATGAAAACAGACAAGAGAATACAAAAGTCAGGTGAGATTTGCCCCAGTAGTAAGTCAATGCAGCTCATGAAAAGGAAAGAAGTGCTCTACTAACAAAGACTAATATTTTCACTTCAACAGAAAGACTTACAACTGTATTACAAGAGACAGAAAAGACAAAAACAAAGAGAAGGCACCAACGGATAGCATTAGAGATTAGAATGGATTGATTAAAAAAACCAATGGGATAGTGTATTCAAGAGTAGCCAACAGGAATTGAAATGAGAGTTAGCTAAAAGCTACCTGACACAAAAGAATATTCACCAGCCATGTCCATGTGACATGCAGAAAGTACAGGTTTCCTACATTTAATAAAAACACAGTAGCAACTGGATAGCTGAACTGGGAGGACAATCACTCTGCTCTTTTCTGAAGGGCATTAATATTCTCAGACTCCAAGAATGCCATAAAGATATCCTTATTTTTGACACATTTAAAATCATCTTTCTCTAGCTTTTACATAAAAGGAACATTGGCAAATGACAACTTAGTTATGCTATGTTCTGCCAGAAGAGTTCAAGTTCAAATGAATAAAATAAGTGCCAATTTATAGTTGTTAAGTATGCTGAGACTGAACGAGTACTGACCTAAGATTTAAATAATTCGTGTTCTAACTGATCCATTCAAAAATTTTTTATGGCTGATTAACCCAGGGCAAATCACCACCTTTCTAGGTCTCAACTTTCTCATTTCTAAAATGAGGAAATTAACCTGATTTCTAGGTTCTCTTCCAGTTCATTACCACTGCCCTAACTAGACAAGAAGTCTTCTCTAATGGCCCTAGATGTCAACATATCCCTTTCTCTTATTTCCCACATCTGAGTAGTTGCTACATAGTCAGTCAACCGTCCCTCTCTCTCTAAAACCCTCTTACCCTTCCCATCCCACACCATGACCACTGCACACCTGGGCTCCACCACAACAGCCTCCTGGCTGATCTTCAGTTCTTGCCCCGCTCCCGCCTACCCTCTGCAGTCCCACTCCATTAAAAACACACTGAGGGTGCCCCTCCACAGGGAATTCCCCCTCCTAGGGATTCAAGGTCTTTCACAATCTGATCCCAACCTTGCTCTTCACTGTCAATTCTCTAACACACCTTATGCTCCTCGCACACTAAACTCTAGTTTCTCAAATTCCCAAGGTCCTTTATGCTTCCTTGTCTCTGAGCAGCTGTTCCTCTTATTGGGACTGTCATCCTCACTTTGTATACCTAATCTGCAGTGGGCAATGTTGGCTGTGCACTCAAAATCCATTCCTCACTTCCTACACATTATAAGAATCCTAATTTTGTTCAGATGCCACTCTTAAGGACTAACCCTATCTTCAACCATAACATATGTCAAAACCAACTGTGTGGCCAGTTCTGACCAATGAGACATAAGGAAGTGCACTGGAAGGCTTCTGGGAAAGGTTTTCGTCCTTTTAACGCTGGACACTGTCACATCTGCAACTATGGCCATCATCCTATAACCACTGGGGGGAGATTAGTGAGGACAAGGCCGAGGATGGCAAAGAACAAAGCAGCTACAGTGAAATTCTAAAGCATAAACTAAATCATGTTGTCTCTTTGCTTTAAATCCTTTCAGTGTTTTTTCGTTACTCCTAGACACTCACTAGTTGCCAGTAACAATGACGTTCTCTCTAACCTTCAAATATGACAAGCTCATCCACTGAGGGCCTACTACAAAAGTGTTCCTTCTGCCTGGAACACTTGTCCTCCAGATATCCACTTGGCTGCCTCCTATCATCACGCAGGTGTCAAACCAGTATCAGTTCTTTAAAGACCCTCCTCAATGACCCTGAGAAAAAGCAGTGCTTCTTCCATAGCCCATGACGCCCACTGAATTACACTCTACAGGGTCTCCGTCACAGCACTCATTTATGAGTCCCTACAATTATTTTACTTCCATTAGCTTACATGTTTACAATGTTTCCTACCCCCACTAAAACATACGCTCCTTGAGAATAGGGAGGTCTATCAGTCATATTTACTGCGTTTAAGTGCTGCCTAGTATAGAGGGGGTCAACAAATACCTGCTGATACATCTGTTCCGATTATGTTTTCACATTCACAATAGCTAATACGCAGGAAGTGCTCAATAACTGTTTAGTGAATAAAAGCAATTTACTGACTGGAAATTTTTCCATTATGCTTCCTTCATAGCCACTTTCAATCAGAAATAAACTTCCCGAAGCTACCTCCGTGCTTCCTGCTGAGCCGCGGCCGGCAGGCAACGGTTCCCTCTTCTCCGGCGGCAGCAGCAGCGACCGCGCAGTCTCGCTGTCCGCGTAATCCACAGGTCGCAGGCCGAATATGTTACTGGCAGGACAAACACAGGGGTTTAGGCAAACAGAAGAGGAGACTTCATGGTTAACTACATGAACGCACCAGCAAAATACTCTTTCAACTCTCCTAATGCCACACTATTTTCACTAAAGAAATGACTCAGGATTCACACAAAGCGTAAGGATCAAGTACCACAAGCTGCTGCATTCAGTGGGAGAGGTGAAATTTCAATTTGACACCAGACTCTTAGAGGGAGTATTTTTAATTAAATATATTGTTACTCACACATGAATTTTTTCACAACTCTATACTCTTCTGTGTTCATACTCATACTCATACTTTAAATCATTAATCACTATGTACGAGAGGTTTTCAAATGTGGATAAAAATCATGGTAGCAATTACAGGCTCTATCATCTATATAAACAAATACAGAAATGAGATAAACTAATGGATATGTGGATCCATTAGAAAGAAAACCAATGCCACATGACAAAGAATTTAACAAAGTAGCAAACAGGGCACTTTTTAGATTAACACGTATGCACACTACAGTGTGTAACAATCACACCATCACAGAACACACCGGAATGGTTCAGAGAACAGCTGAGGCAGACTTCTCACCACATACTAATTCACAAGGCACAGACTATACACTGGAGGAGACTCCAGACACAGCAAGACGACGACAAAGAGGGAAAACCAAGAGAGAAAGGCCCAGCGGCTTGGCTTAGGGTCGTGTTCTCCTTGTCTGTCCCAGTACTCCTCGCATTACTGCCCATCTTCAGTCCTTCATTTATCAGTAAACTGTAAAAACTATACAACTTTTGCCTCCTATTCCACTATCATCATACGGTTTCAAAATGATTTTAATATACCACACTATGGCGGATGTTTTCTAAAATGAGCATTTCTTTTATAATTTATGGATTTTACAAATATTTTTAGTGATTTTTAGAGAGAAAGAGGGGGGAGAGAGAAACATCGCTGTGAGAGCGGAACATGGTTCGGCTGCCTCCTCCATGCCCCCCACCAGGAGTCAAGCCAGCAACCCGGGCATGTGCCCCAATCAGGAATCAAACCTCCGACCTTTCGGTACATGGGACGAAGCACAACTAAGCCACACCGGCCAGGGCATAATCTTTTATGTTTTTTAGGATTATGGTATATCCATATAATGACGACTAAAGTTCACGTAAAAATGCAATGTGTTAAACAGGATATAAAATTATAAACATGGTATAATACTAGATTTTACAATTGTACTAAACGTGTAGAAAAAGATCTGGAAGGAAACAGAGTGAACACTAGAGAGAGAGGGAGGAGGAAGGTGTCGCCTCTGATGTGGCATGGAGGGCACTGCGATGAGAGACACATGGGTAGGATACAGAAGCATCTACTGGGTTTAGAGACAAGGTCGTTAACAACTTTAGAGAAAATTGTTTTGATGGCATAGTAGGAAAAGAAAGCTAGTGGATTAAGAAAAAAAAGAACTGCAAATGTTTCTCTAATGGCTGCTATTCATGACTGTCGGGTTCAGTCAGTATTTCTTATTGGGACAGCGCTGGGTAAACGCTTAAGTTCATATTCTCAGAGTCCCCTCTGTGCCCAGGTCCAATAATGTATAACCTCTCTCCGGCAATAGGCTTTTTCCAGACAAGGTATACTGCCATCAATTGTAACTCAGCTTTCTGATTTACAACAAAGTGATGCAAGTCACTGTCCTGGAATGGGGTCTTTGCAAATCCCCATAGTTCGGGCCAACAGTTTCAGCTTACTTCAAAGGTAGCCAATCTCATCACTACACTATACCTGATACTTCTCAACTGCATTCCCTAAGTTATTATGCCCAAACATTAACCCCACAATCTCTTTACAGGCACAATCTGTAAGTATGACAATCAAAAATCAGAAATCGGAGTTAAAAAAAACAATCTTCTAGGTCTTAACCCACCAAGTGCAAAAATGAATAAAAAAAATAAATTAAAGTCACATTATATGCCATCAAACAAATCCTTGCACACATAAAGACTGTTTAACAAAGACAAATGTAGAATTTACACTTGGAAGAAATAAAATTTAAGAGCCCAATCACATGCACTTTAATGCCTAGTAACTGTAGTATCCTACTTTACACAAATACTTAAATCAAGGCCACTATAGTAACATAAAAAAAAAAGTTAATGAAAGTACTTCCCAAAGTGCCTCAGCGATTAGCTAGTGAGGACTTTACCAAAAACTAACAATTAAAACAATGGCCTTGGAAGATGTTTTTGCTGCCTGAAGAACTGCTTCATAAAATAATAGCAGGACTCTAATTTACATTTACAGTCTTTCACACAAAGCTATCTCATCTGGCCTGTAAACACGTGGTCTCTCTACTTAGTGGCCGGCTTCTGCTTATACACAACTCACTAGACCCTCAGCCCTCCTGTATTGTTAATGGCACATTACAAATACTCATTTGAAAGAGAATCAGTTAAACCCCAGCCCTGCGTCATCGGAGATCATAGGAGATGGAGCCTATTAAACCAACTGAAATTTAAAATTAGACACAAGGTTTTAAGTGGCACCTTCAAAAAACCATAGCAGGAGAAGTCAGAGCATATGCAAAATTTCTCCTTTATTATGGGGGCACAAAAAGAGTCATAAAATTTTCCCCCCAAAATGATATATTTGAATGAGCTCACACTTTGCTTACAGGCTTTGAGTTAAAAATCAGCTTAAAATGTACATAATTAAATTTATTCTTTAAAAAAAAATAGGTTATACAGGAAATGTCACATGTCACATGCACAAGGGACTATCAGTGTGACTGCCTATTAATTGAAGACAATGATAAATCTCTTACTCTCCATTGCTACATAGGAAAGTTTTTTTTTTAATCTGTCAAAACACCATGGACTCAGGCTAAACATCAATAATTTCATTAGAATGAGTTACCAAGGGAGCTTATAGATTGACTTTTCCCCCCTAAATGTTCTTTTTTTAAAATATTTTTTTGTTATTGATTTTACAGAGAGGATGGGAGAGGAAGACAGAGAAACATCTATCAGCTGCCTCCTGCATGCCCCCTACTGGGGACCAAGTCCACAACCCAGGCATGTGCCCTGACAGTGATGGCAACCTCTGGGTGCATGGGACGAAGCCCAACCAACTGAGCAGCACCAGGCAGGGCTAAATGTTCTTAAACATAGCACATTCTCTATTTTCTGACATACTTTAGCCTTAACACGTAAACTTGGCATGTTGGAGAGATACATAATACTTAGAAATGATTATCCTCGCCTGTAATCTTACTGAGGAGAGATACTCATTCAACAGATAAGAATAAAACTGACAAAGTATAAGCCGAAGCACGAGTAATGAGGTGAAATATAAGAGGCGTTCCAGAGCACGTAAAGAATACATATAGGCAAACAATGGCCTTGAACCCAGGACTGGCAACCACAATTTGGTGGGTGAACGTGAAGGGCCTGTGGAGGGCGTTAACAGTGTGACTGCTGAAAGGAATGGGATCGATGGGAGAAAGCCTTCTGGCAAGGCTGGGTCTAATCACCGCATGCTCATGTGTAGAATACGATATGGAAAGCTGATGAAATAATCAGGCATGAAATACCGGGCATTAGAGACAAAGGCGGCATGTAGCTGTGAAAATGGAAAGGCACAAGCGTCTACTATTAAACTCTCTGGGCCGATGCGGCACCAGTATAATGATGGCTCTGTTCGGGATGCAGAAAAACACAGCATCTTCACTGCTGAACTTGCATGTAGTGCATGACAGTCTATTAACATCTGTCACATGCACCACCTTTGACAGTTCAGTTCTCTAAACGCCCTATCAAAAAAAGCCTCTTAAAATTCAGTGAATTCCAAAGGATTACATAGATAATATGCTTTATCTACACTAAATCCTAAAAATTGTATTTTTCTGCTTATTGAAACATTACACGATCACTAACCAAGAAGATACCTTTCTGATTCTGGGTTTCTTTTCTGTTCCTTCGCAACACAGAACATTGGCAAATATTACCAGTTTTTTTCCTGTAAGGTATTCCTGCTCTATTCCTTTAGCTATGATTTTCCATCATAATTTTGAAAATATATTTCATGTAAAACTTTTAGTGACTGAAGATTTTAAACTTACTTTAAAGTCTTGGCAGAAGATCTAAGCGTTCCTAAGTAATTGCTTTTGCTGTTGAAAGCTACTAAGAAATATTAGAGGATCACTGCTACTCATACAAGTTAATAGATTCTATGCAAAAAGCGGCTATATATATTAATATACACAACACTCATATACCAGGACTAGCAATAACCACTTAGTTATTACTTATTTAACACACACAGAATGAGTACATGTGTATGCACATGGAGGAGTACAAATATCATTTGGTAATCAGCTTGGCAAATACTCACTCAACAAGTACCTCTGAGAGCTCTTTCAGGCGCTAAGGAACTGATGAGATTAAAGGCAGTTCCTGTCCTCCCAGAGCTCCTGGGCACAAAGCAGAGGGCGGCAAACAGGAAGGACTTAAAACTCTGGTAAGCCTCCCCCGACATGAAAAAAGGAAAAGAAGTGTAAGACGTAGAATAAGAGTGTCCCAGCAGAGAAGAAAGTGTGCACAAAGCCTTGAAGTGAGCTAGGGCGGCACAGGAGACCACCAAAAAGAGGGAAAGGAGAAGAGCAAGAAAGACCGAAAAAGAAGAGACAGAGAAAGAGAGAGACACAAAGAGAGAGGCAGAAAGAGAGAACGCACAGGGAAAGGTGCTGTTCTGGAAATGTAAGCTGTGGCCAGATTAAGAAAGAACAAATGGGTGGCATCGGAGTCGGGCTTTATTCTAAGGACAACATGAGGCCCTGAACAAAGTTTATCCTAAGGACAAATGTGAAGCTCCCTCAAAGGTTGTAAGCAGGAGGGATGGGATCAGTAGAGCACCGCAATTAGAGCTGGGGTCACAGAATCAGATGGCCTGAATTAGATTACAGCTCTGCCACTCAATAGTTGTGTCTTTAGAATAGTTACTTCACCTATTGTGCCCGTGTCCTCATCTGTAAAATGGGAACAATAATACAACCTACTATTTTATAGTACTGTTGTGAGGACCAAATGAATTCTCACAACAAAAGCATGTAAAACAGTGCCCAGCAGATAGTGAAAGCTCAATAACTGCCATCTATTAAATTACTGATTTGCATTTTTGGAAGACAAACAGAATGAAGTAGGGAACATGAATTACATCTGTAGTGGTGGCCCTTATATTCATTTTCCCCAACTTTATAATATACTTCATGTGTGCTCTGTAGTGATAATTTAGAGGTTTAGCAAGGAAAAACATAGAAACCTGTTTTCTTAACAACATTGGAATAGGAGGGGATATTCATTTTCCTGTACGGTACAAATCTAAAGACAAGCAGTATGTACTAGATGACCCTGAATATACTTTCGTTCACTAGTATTCATTTTCATCACTAAGACTAATGAAAAAGAAGTACTTATCAAACAGTTCAACTAAAGTCTTAAACGGTTGACCCCAAAGGCAGAGTTCAGAACATAGTGTAAGCCTGAAATGTCCTCTGCTCCTCAAGAATGATATAACAGGCATGTGCCTACAACTGGGCCTTGATGAGTTGCCCTACTATTAAAAGGGGGGAGAGAAGGGCAAATTTAAACTTGCACTTGGCACATACAGACCACTCAATCCCAAACACACATAAGCAAAAAGGAATTTTTACTGATGCTAAACCTATTATAACTGTTAAGAGACAGCTCATGAATGAAACCGTTATGAACAACCATGAAATTGCAAGCACATAGGTTTTAATTTTTCAAGTCACTTGGCTTGCTGTGAAGCAGGAAAAAGCACAGAAATTCAAAAGAGCAACATGTTTTTTTTAAATGCTATAAAACATAAATTATCTCTGTTGTAGGAGATTAATTTTTAAAAAATTAGGTAGGGATATTGAAAGAACCAATGGTCCACATCATATTTTCTAATTAAGAATTCTACATCCTTCCAAGGAAAACTCTGCTAATGCAGACCAAGTACCAATCCTAAACTACCTATCTGTAAAAAAGAAAAAAAGCTCCTGACACTCTCTACACTCAGAAGGTTCTGATGTGACTGAAGAGCTCTTGTCTTAGGTTCCCACCGGGGACATAGCATGAAGAAGGCAGTGGGGAAGGAGGGCCACCAAAGAAGTGTTGAACAGTTATTAGTAGAAATACTCGGGCAACAAAGAAGTATAGAAGATGAATCTTTTCTCATTATCTGAGGTCAAAACAGAACTCATTTGCCCTCTTGAGTAATGGACTCTTATTTTAGCTCACTAGAGGTCAATTTCTCATGAAAATAGAAGTTCAAGAGCTAAATGAATTAAAACTAAATTCAAATGCAAGGTGCACTTAGAAAATGCCAAAGTTTGCACAGCAGAAGTTCAAAGCGCATATTAAAGTATTCTAAGTAAAATGTGACTTTAAAATCATGAAGATGGCAAATAAAGAGTATCAGTATTTTAAATTAATATTGTACGTGGTTAATTCCTAGTTATCATGCCTTGCCTTATGAGGTTTTAAGATTTCCCTACAACAGTATGCAATAAAATGCTTTCAAATTCACTGGGTTCTGCAGTAGGTAATATTCCTTTCTTTCCCTGATCTTCCATAATCATTCAGTGCCTAATTATATTACTGAGTTGTTGACCCTCCCCACTTCCTAGGCTACAAAAAGGCTCTCAGTAATCTTCACATTTTATAAATTACTACTGAGAAGATAGTTCTTGAGCCTTCCTCCAATATTTAAAGGTATGTGGTGTTAGCACCATTCATGACAACTTAATAACAAAACATAACAGAATACAGAACTTTCTAACGTGGATCCCTTTACCTTTTCTCTCTTCTAAACACACCAAAAGTACCTTTAAGGTTGGATTTTCTTTGTCTTGGGTTTTCTTCTCTCACCCAAGGCTAAGGTACAAAAATCTTTACTCCTCTCTACAAGTCTGCTTTACCTCCAATTAAAATAATTCAAATAAAATTCTACAGCAGCAGCAAAGGTGTAATATCAATCAATATATACCAAATGTTGAGTAATAAGAATGAGACCACATTTGGTGTGAGGACCTAGGTGTTCTGTCAAACATGCTGTAACAGGAACTCCATCAACCACCACTTCCTGTGTATGTAGTGCAGTGGATATCAATGGACGTGATGCTGGCCTACTTCACTTATAGGGCCCTGAAATACGTGGAAACAAAGTACTTCTTACCATTCAATACACAGAAACTATCACAACATTTGACTAAAAATATATACAGGAAGGCCTGAGGCTTTATGGGTTTGAATATTGATATACATGTGAGAAACAGACTAGGGACAGTGTTTCCTTACAGACCCTGTCTCACTGGTGTGCCCTGTGCTAAGCATCAGTAGGATGATATACCTGGGCATCTTCCTAAAAAGCACAGCCTCAGATTAAACTGCAAAATAGGCAACATTTTTTTTATATTCTACAGGGACTATTTAAGGATAAATTTAATAGCATAACAAAAAATCCACCTGGTCTTTAGTGTCTACAATCTACTGTTAATACATTAGTATTTCAGAGTGGTAATAGCTACTAGTAACAAAACTGGAGAGCTCTCCAAGTATTATATAATATGCAAGTTATCAAAACAGATAAATGATGTAACAGGCGTAGGGGGGTGTATTTCTGTAAGATACACCATTCATATTCCACCAGAGAAGGTGGAAAGCATCCCAATACCTTGAAAAAGCTATGGGCATAATTTTAGTATCAAAATTTGAGGGCAAAAAAATTAAAGATAAAACCACAAATCATTCTAACTCTAACTTATAATTACAAATGCAAGGTCCAACACATTTAAAACAACACATCTATCTGAGAAGGCACCTGTGAAGGCAGATTCACTCAGTGTCTCATGCCCACACCTTGTATATTAATAAGCTTCACAGTGTAGAGAAGACTCATGGTGTATGAGCCACAAAACACTGTGTTTGGGCTCATTAATCCTCACTATGCTCTGAAGAAATAGAAAAGTTACAGGCATCACCCATGTTTTATAGGTGAGGACACAAGGCACAGAAATTAACCTGCCTGAGGCTCTAAAGTCAATAATGGAGTCACAAATAGAACTTGGATTCCCTAACGCCTGACCAGTGCCCCATTCATTAAAGTAGTCATGGCTGATTTAAGAAGCCAAGGATAGAAACTATTCCATTTCACCTGACCCAAGCAACCATTTGCTTTATCAAATGGCTTGTTAAACCCACAGGAGGGTCATATCTGTTAGGTCCATATCTCATATCTATATATGGGCCGAATTCAAGGTGTGTGTGTGCATGCATGTAAAGCAAGAAAAAAATAATTAATTAATAAAAAGAATATTCATCCCCTGAGTTTGCCCCAATTAATTTATCACATGTGATGGGGAAGAAAGGATATTAAACACACTTACTGAAAGGAACAGCTCCAAGGTAGAGTACTCCTGCATTAGTAATTTGTGTTACATTGTTACCTATAAAAATTACAACCTAGAAGCTCTGTATTTTGTAATTCTTATTTGCCTCTTAACCAGAGTAAGTCTGACCTTTGTGGGTTCCTTCCAAACCTAAAGAAGCAATGGGAACACAGAGACAGTTCTTGCATTTCCATTTCAATTACCTCATTAACTGAAAAGAGTAAAATAATATATAGGGAGACATGAACCAAGTTATGGATTAAAGATATAAAGTCCACACACAGCATTTGCTTGATGATCTTTACAATGACCATTTTAAAATGCAGCAGCCAGCACTCACTAATGCATCTTTGCCCTGACACTGCAAAACAATTTACCCAGAGCTGCATCTGAATGATGTGAAAAATCTATGAAATAATTCAACTCTCCTTGCCTAACATCTGAATTCTTACATATTTTAATTGTTGTTATACTAAATATGCAGAGAAAGCAGGAAGGAATGAATAGTTAAAACAATCTGAGCCCTGGCAGTGTGGCTTAGTGGGTTGTGCGTCATTCAGTGCATCGAAAGGTTGCCAGTTTGATTCCTCAGAGAGAGTACACGCTGGGGTTGTGGGCTCAATCCCTGGTAGGGGGCGTGCAGGAGGCAGTGGACCATGTGTCCCTCTCGCATTTATGTTTCTCTCTCTCTCTCCCTAAAAACAAAAAAAAAAAAAACAAAAAAAAAGAAGAAAAAAATCAATAAAAAAATTTGAAAGTATTGTGAAGCATAAAAAAGTTATTTCTATACTTCTCTTTTCCTATTAAAAGCATTAATCAATCCAAAGAATATAAAAACTAACTGAATTTGTACAGAAAGTAAAAGCTTCTAAAATAAATTGGACAACTATTTCTGAATTAAAAGAGCATATCTCCCTCGAATATGTATCATAAAGAAAAAGGCCATGAATGATGATTTTAAATCCAGAATTTAATGGTCACATCCAACTTTAGTTGAGAAAGAGAAGAGAGTCATCACTGGGTTAAAAAATCTGCTTCATCACAGACCTTGATTTAGGAATTCAAGTCAATGAAAAAGTCTCCACGTTGAACTACTTACACAGCACTCCTGGAAGCTCCATAGGACAGTAAGAGCTTGACTATATCCACGTGCCCATTCTTGGCTGCATCATGGAGTGGTGAGTCGTTCTGATACCCAGGGGTGTTCACCAATGCCTTGTGCTGGAGTAACAATTCCACTATCTTCAGGTGCCCATGACTGCAGGCTTCATGCTAATTTTTTTTAAAAAAGAAAAGGAGTGAGAAGAGTGATGAAGAACAGCAATGGGTAATATCATAATAAAACCTTACTTTAGAAAAATTAATGTGAGCCTCAGTCAGCAAATTGGTTCTTACCTAAATACTCATAGAGACCATAAGTTGTTGACAGAGGAAAAGCCACTATTCATAATCTTTCTGATAAGATACATGGTGATAAAGACCTATGCAATTCATGAAAAAACATTTGCATTTGAGCGTTAGGTTGAGTGCTTTTTTAAAAAGAAAATGTAGCTTCAAACCAATTATAGCTCCTACATTGTTCTACAATAAGAAATATAAAACAACAAAAAAGAAAGAAAAACTTAGAAAGTCTTCAACAACCAAGTCACGCATAGACTTTGAAATTCTCCAAGGCTAAACGGAATTCACTAAATCAGGTGCTTTAGCCAAAAGCTAAGTGGTGCACCCACACATGTGCATAACCATCCAATACTGTGAATATTCTAGAATGTGTATAAGACAAGCCTCTTATTTGCTGAAGCTACAGATTACTGTACGGCTGGTGTCAATGATAACAGAAATGACATGGAGTAGATCCTCAAAAAGAGCTTACTGAATGAATGACAGAACTGGTAACAATGGAATGTTCAGAGATATATCACGTGCAAATCTTTCCTGAACATGTAAGGATCTGCTAACAATGCCACTCTGTTGTATTCTAATAAATCTCGGGCATATTGTGCTATTAATTTCATAACAGGTGGTACATACAAACGTCTATAGGTTTATTTCTAGGGGGAAGGAATCCAAATTAGGCATCAGGCCACAATTTGCCTTAGTGGCTTAAAAAAAACCCATTTCTGTTAAAAGGTTAAACAGCCCAGAGTCCAAACAACAAAGACTAAACTAAACCTCCCAGCTTAAATTTAGCAAAGAGAAGTCATTTTGTACCACTTTAAACCTTTTTTGCACCTAACCTAATAAGAATCTCCCAATTTTTGTGAATCTCCAACTCACATCTATGGCTATATTCAAATGCTTACTGCCCTAAGCCAATTAGCCTATATGGCACTTGTTTCCATGTATTTGTGCCATTCTTTTTCCAGACTATTCTTCACACTGCATTTTAGTAATAATAAGCAGGCACTTTAAAAATGATTAGGGAAGCCAAGTTTTACTTCCTGTCTATATTTGGAATTGGGTAGGGTATATAAATGAGGCTGAGATAGATCCTCAATAAGAATCGCTGCCTAGTGATACCTTCCTAGTCCACCTAGTTTCTCTGACCTCTCTGTTCCATGAAATGTTTCCAATTACATGCAATGCTGCAGAATGGAGCCTGGTGTTGGTTGTAGCAGTTACCTCTCCACACGTTTGCTAAATTCAGCAATATGGTGTAACTGGTTCCCTAAATCTAGAGGTAGTCAGTCAAAAGGGAGCTCATTTCGTCCCTATCACAACTGAAGAGCTAGATGAAAAACAATCATTTTCTCTTACTTGGTGAAAATACAAGTTTTCTGACTTAAAAGAGTATATGTATGACAGAGAATGGTATATAGACAACGACATAACTAACAGCTATAATAACTATAAAATATAAAAGAATGGAAATAAAAAGCAAATAGAATACTACCAATGGTGTCCATCCAGCGTGGTCTTTAACGTTTGGGTCGCTTCCATTTTGTAAGAGGTATGCAACTGAAGGCACGTCGCCCTAGGAGAAGAACAAGAAAACGAAAGGAAATTAAAAACCATGAAGGAAAAAGGTAAGATAATGAGATTTTGTTGTTTTTTTAAAAGATTCTGCTTCTTTCAGATAAAATAAAACAAATCTTTTCCCTTGTGCCCACTGCTCATGAGTTAATAAGCAGTATGTTTTCTGTGTGAATTGTTCTGAGGTGCCGACTGCTGGAACTCATGTGATAGGTACAGGTTTGAACGCAGAGTACAAATTCTCTGGTATAAGCAACCCATGTTGAAATTCAATTCAAAATACCAAATAAAGGACCATAGCCACAGGTCAGCCAATCACAATAAAGTTTTAAGTCATTTCATTTGTGAAAAACATCCTTTTGAGCACACATAAAAATGGTTTCTGAGTATTCTTTAAAACAAAATTAAAGCCAAGAAGACTGCTCAGTAAAACCAATGTTAAGACTACCAAAAACTGTCTTATGGGCTGTCACTCTATCCCTAATATGTTAATTCACCTTATTTGCTCAAAGATATTTTTCTAGGCAGAAGCAAGGTTTATTTTCTCCAAAAATAACAGAGCTTTCTCGGAAAAAATAAATTTAAAAAATTACATTTGACAAGTGACTTATGACAACGCTGCTTTGTGAAGCACTTGTTCAAAGAGAACCAAGTCTGTCTCCTCCCACTCCCAGCCCCGACTCTTCTGAAATGAGTTTTTATCCCCTACAGGTTGATAATGAAGAAGTCATTAAGAACCTTAATACAGTAGCATTTGCTTTTATTTGACTGTTTTGGGCCACCTATCAAATACAGCATATCTTAAGATGATAGCTTACTCAGTTTTCTGAAAAACAAATCCACATTGCAACATACATTTTTTTAATGTTCCTAAATTAACAAAATGACCTTAAATATTCAATGCACCTAAAAAATAAGCACGGTATATGTTTCAAATCAAATGCTCCAGTTTGAACTATTTTCCCATAGTTCCCGAAGTGTGCACCTTCTAGATCTCTGGTGCAAGGTAACATGTATTTAGCAACTTTTGCTCTATATTCAAGTCAGTTCCAAATGAGCTCAGGAAAACCTGTCAAAATACAAATATGAATTTTTAAAAACAATTTGGGGCAGATGGACTGCTACAACCACACCCATTACCAACCTTCAACATGGAAATAAACATAAGCAGACAAAAAACTTTCTCCAAAATTTCTTCATTCTAATTCTACATGGTAATCACAAAACCGTATTCACCTAAAGAAGCCCATAAAATAACATAAAGACAAGTGGGGATTGGAAGAGTCACATGGAAATAGTCACATAGGAATAGAGTGAATCTAGAGACTCAAAGCAGAGCCTCCTGTAAGGCTGTGAATAGCAGTATTTTTCTTTCACATCACCGCTTCCTGTTACCAGACGTCTCCTGTTAATACTGCACCCCTAGGTGTCCCTGAACTGCATAGCTGATTTGCAGACTGCTTGATTATTTTATTTTATTTTATTTTTCATTTTATTTTTCCATCACCATTTACCCCCCATACCCTCTTCCACCTCCATCCACCCCTCTCCCTACCCCTCCCCGCAACCACCACTGTTGGCAAACTGCTCACTTTTAAACCCAACCTGCTTCTCTCCCCAAGTGCTTAAAGGTGTATCTGGTTTTCATCCGTCTCCTTTATGTAAATCTAATGTCATGCACATAAATAAAATTATGGTAATTAGATAGGAGCCACAGCAACTGGGGAAGCTTGAACCAATATGAAGTTTCCAGGAAATAAATTAACTTCCACTCCTGATTTCTTTAAATTACCTTCTTCTGTAAGAGATTATTTTCTGAGTAATAAGCACTCACTTTTAGGCTCCTCACAACTTTAAAAAAAGTGAGATTTTTTTTTTTTTAAATCGCAGCAAGAAGAAAAAAAATCATCTGAGAAAAGTATTTACCAAGGCTTATAAGAAATTTTAAATGGATTTGATATTTTGAAGTAATACTTCCAAGGCTGAAAATAAGGAAGCATGGGTGCCACACTGAATTTTCTTATTGCTAACCTTTCATTCAAAGGAAAGGCTCTCACACATTCCTGCATACTGTAACAATATAAATCAACTTTCTAGAAACACATACACAAACAAAACTTTTTCCTTATTATATAGGTTAGTGCTTCCAAAGTACTGGTAATAAACATCTTTATAAATATAGTATAGCATATTACGATTAAGTGCGATAATCTTGAGTTACCCAAAATGGTTAAGCTTTCCACACATATGAACTAACCAAGTACCTAAAACTTCTTTTAGCAACTAGACGTAATTTTTAAAAAACTGAGTCATCTGGAATGGAGCTCTCAAATATATTAAACATTTCCCTGGCTTCTGAGCCATAGTTTATAGAATAAAATAAGATTTCACAGATGATTCTGACAACCTAGTCATCGTCACGTAAGTTACTGGTATTACAAAGGTGGTAGGTGACAGGCAGAGGGGAAACGGATACTGACCCCAAGGGGTGTTCTAGAAATTAAAATCTTGAAAATATCATAGATGCCAGTGTGCTTTTGAGTCCTTTACTTCTTCCTCAGGAGGCTAGTACGAAGGACATGTAATGATGTAACTTTACACAGTGTAACATGACTGCCGTAAAGCCTAAAATTACCAACCCTGGAGGAGGCTCCTCACCAGGGATTTTCTCTCTTCCCAGATTCTCATCCCCTTTGTTATGTTAAGCACATCATGCTTTGTAAGTTGCCTTCAAAATATTATCTATGATGTCTGCATGACAAATACATCATATGACATGCCAACTTCAAGCCATTCTTGTATTTCATCATACATTCACTGCTGTGGCATGAGTTACGAGTAATCATTACCATTTTAAGGACCTGTATACTAGGGAATTTGGGGAGGTTTTCCCCAGCACCTACGAATTCTCTAGCAAAGGTAGCATAATTGAGTAACAAATCGAAATCTTCTCTATATCTAGAGAAATGTCAAATACTAAAGTAGTTTTTTCATTAAATCAGAAGGATAAACAATATGAGTGTTTGTCTTAGTTTCTACTTACGCATAACATTTTCTCATAAAATCTCTCAATTGTTACACAAGCATTATAACTACAGGTGACATACATACTCAAACAGAAACATGGGGAATAAAGAGCCTAATGGACTTCAACTTTGGTCTGGTTAAATGAGAATGTTCACAACATCCCAGGCATAGTATTAATGAATATTCTAATTGAAATTTATAGTGTAACAAAATAAAAGTTCAATTAAGATATTAAAAAATAATCCTGTGCAGAGTTTTCATTCAAATGGTGCTGTATATACTCCAAAACGAGCTGGCTGGCCTATATGCCCCTGATCCTGGCAGGGGGAAGGACATGAGAACTGACAGTCCAAACAGTATCTGCTGATGATCTATCTACATTGTTAGTCTGAATATTTAGGCAGTCTGGATATTTCATAAGATCCTTCTACTGCCAAGATAAATAAGATAACATGTTAACCCAGAAATCCCACTTCTAGGAATTTATCCTAAAAATATACCTGTGCACATCTAAAACAAAGATTGCTTACTGTCATGCTGTTTATAAAGGCAAAAGAAAGAAAAACAGGCATCCATCAGTTAGGAACTAGTTAAATAATGAAAATTCATGGAAAGCTATGCTACTAAGAAAATGTACAAAAAGTTGTGTACTATTATGGAGAGCATTTGCATACATCTGCATAAAGAAATTCACAAAAGATATACAATAAGAAAGGTGGTTAACAGGTAGGGCTTATCAGCAATAGTGTGGCTGGGACAGAACAGATATGAGGCTTCCCAATACATTTTTTTATTTTGAAACAAAGTTATTACTCATATTTTGAAATTAAATTTTAAATGAGGAATATATACTGGATAACCATGAGTTTTATAATAAATAGAAAGCTAAATGAATGTAAGTGCAAACAAAATAATGTATATACAAATAAATGTACTGAGTTTCTTTCAAGTATCTCTGCTATTAAAATCAAGCTGGGTAGGGGTATACATTCAACTCATTGTAAATTTTTAAAAGAGACACTATTGTTAAATAGTTATTTAAAAACCAATAGAAATCAATTAACGTTTCATAAGTGTATTGTATCAGAATCTTCCAACTAATGACAAAAACAGTATTTGATAAGATCAAGAGTATCAAAATGGGTAATCCTAAAGCTGGCAAGACTCTCAGCAAACTGACAATCTGACAAAATTTGTATGAAACAATCATCAATGGAGAAAATTCACAAGGCAGCATCATGCCACCATTTTTTCCTGTCTTAAGATTCTACTCTGGCATTTTTCCATGGCCTAGGCCAAGGGTCGGCAAACTATGGCCTGTGGGCCAGACACCTGATTGTGGATGTAGTTTTATTGGCTTACATATTGTCTGTGGTTGCTTTTGCACTACCTCAGCAGAGCCGAATAGTTAGAGACTATTTGACCTGAAAAGCTGAAAATATTTACTCTAGCTGCCCTTTTAAGAAAGAGTTTGCCAAACCATGGCCTAGACTCTAGGTCTTACAGATCCTCATTAATAAAGATAAATAAATCTTATGGTTAAAAGAAAAATTCTCTACCAATGTAAGTGGATGCTTACCTGGTGGTGTGAAAATAATTCCCAGAAAGCAAAATGTAGAAACTCAAGAAGCCACATTCTGATGTATTATTAAGAAAAATTTATTATTATGCTAGCTAATTATGTCAATGAAGCATTAATAGCATGTTAAAATTTATAATCATGTATGTGTATATATTATATATAACAAAGAAGACAAAAAATATAGTCTGATTTTTAAAATCATGCTTTGCAAAAATCAAACTAAAATGTAACCAAAGCTAACTCTGAAATTTCAAGTTGTTCAAAGGATATGTAACCCCAAGCATGTGGTCACATCACAGGTTCTCCCTGCAAGCTGCATCACACAGAGTACTCTACATACATCATTTATTGGAAGATAAATCAAGGAAAAAAATAAAACACTAACAGTTGGGAGAAACTGGTTTTTGTGCTTTTCTCTTTCTCTACACAAAAATACAGGGGTCCCTGGACTCAATGTCTACTCCATGTTCCTCCCAGATGTTTTATGTCACCAACCTCATGAAGGGGTTCCTTCTAGACATCCCAAAGTTCTCTATACATACAAAGGACCCAAGGATCTCTCAAAGAATTTACTGGAATATCATGAAACCTATCTTAATTTAGTACCAAGCTCTCCCATGTCATATTTTCATAACACTTGCGTGAAATCACAGATCAAAGTCTATAAAGGTATGGTGTTAACTGCTTCTCTTTATGTGCAGTACCTGTGAAACTTTCAAAGATTAATCACTTCAAGCTCCATAAACCAGCCAGGTTCCCAAAAACAAACACTGCCACACCCCAGGTGTTGAGGCAATAAATGAAGAGAATTTAACTTCAATGAACATGCTAGTGAAAGGAATGGCTGGCTGTAGGACACAAAGCAACTCCTTTGTGGTGAACTACAGGAGCCATTTCTAACAGACTAATTTCCTGGTTATCGGAGAAGCGTACAGATCACATCTTTCAGCCTTCCAAATGCTGGCAGTGCCCCCTAAGAGTGGCAAACATACAGAAACTTGCTATCTCTCATAATGCCCCTAGCTCTTTTGCTAAGAAAGACACGTTGCCAGCAGTAACTTGGCAATTATCTGTATTCCTAAAGCATGAGAAGAAAGGATCAACAAAATGGTAAAAACAGAAAACCATTATGGAATAGACAAAATGAAAGGCACTTGCCAAAGTAGAAGTTAAAATATGACATACTGGTATCCTCCTAAACTACGTTCCCTCAGGCCCCAGACCACCGCTCTAACTGAGGTGGGCATGTGGTCCCTATGAATTCTACTTCTCTGGTTCAGTCTTTTTAAGAGTACCGTACCTGTGGTAAACTATCCTAGTCATCTCTTCTCATTTTTCATAAACGCCAAAGAAACTGTTTTATGGTTAGTCTCATTCTGAAACTGTATTTCAAAGTAAGCTTCGTACCTTAATTGAAGCAACATGGAGCAAAGTCTCGCCCTTGTGATTTCTTTTCACAGTCGTAAGGTTACCCTGCGACAACTTCAAGGCCGAAGGGCTGGACAGCATTCGTCCGTAACTTGTATTATTCAGTGTAGAAGGTGGTGAACCTGGTGACGAGCTAAAGGACTCATCTAATATAGTTCTGGTTTTCCTCCTTAATGTGTCACCAACTTTAAGTTTGCTTGAAGGTGGCAAAGAAGAGCCAGGCAACGGGATGTTTTCTGAGAGCACTGTTGGCTTAACAAAATTTCCACTGGTGCTGGGAATGCTGCTTCTACATCTCTTAGAAACGGGACTGGAAAGTCTCCTGTGACGCCGGCGTTTTCCATTATGACCTAAGGACATGGACTTCTCAGATGTAAGATCATTTTCACAGAGATTCTTCTCAGGAGTCATTACTTCATCCCTGCCCTCAATTTCTGGAGACTCTATTTGCTCAGCCAACGGTAAAGAGACTTCGGTTAAGTTTCCAAAACATTCATCTTCTGCTACAGAGCCACTTGCTAGTAAGTCTATTTCACCGTTTCTCTGAGGACTAGCAATAACAGATGGTTGGACACAGAAAGATACCAGCTTTTCCTTACATTTCTCTCTGGAGTCAAGTTCGCCATCTTTTTTGTCTGCCTCTAAATTCCATTCTTGGTTGATTTTAGTTAAAGTTTTCTTTTTCCCCTTTTTTCCATATCTTGTAGAAGCCTTTTTAGCCCTCGCAGAAACATCAACTGGAGGACTCGTAGAAACATATTCATACGTCGAGGCATTTTCATCATTTATCATTTGAGGCTGAGTTTGCACTGAAACTTTACTTACTACATATCTGACCTTCTTACTTCGAGGACTAAACCACATTTTTATTGAATTCTTCTTACTTTCTGCATGATTAAATAAACTTTTCCTGGATGTGTCTTCTTTAAAATCTGATAGAAAAAATAGAAAAGAAATCTGTTACATGAACCTAATCTCTCCCATCCTGAGCTCCCAAAGAATTTTGTTTATGGTTTTAAATGCATCACCTTTTATTTGTGTACCTCTTTCTCTCGTCCTAGACTATGAACTCCATAAGCACAGATATTCAGTCATTTAACAAATATATACAGAATCCTACGTTAGGTCCGACAACATCCTAGGGACTGGACATACACCAGAGAACAAAAGAGAAAATGTATATTCCACTGGAGATGACCAGAATATGTGAATAAATAAGCAAAATACACAGTATGCTGGTGGTTATAAGAGCTATGAAGATATATTAACTAAATAAATAGGCAGATAGGGAATTTAATAAGCAGTAGTCCAAAAATTAAGACACTGATTGATGCTTATTTTTTAAAGATTTGAAAATCAATCAATATCATTCATGGTATCAACCAACTAAGGGAACACCCTGTGATTTTCTTAACAGATACTGAGACAAAAAAAAAATCCAACAGCCATTCATGATTTTTAAAAAGGTTGAGCAAATTAGAGATAGAAGGAACTTCGACCTGATGAAGAGCCATCCACAAAAATACACACAGCTAGTATCATGCTTATTGCTGAAAGACTGAATCTACTATTTTGATCCTATTACCTTCTTCCTATTATCAAGAACAAGGCAAAGATGTCTGCTTTCACCACTCCTATTTAACATCATACTGAAAGTCCTAGAAAGCACAAGGTAAGAAAAAAGTATGAAAGGCACACAGGTTGTAAAGGAAGACATAAAACTGCATCTACTCATAGTTGACTTAAGTGACTAGATAGACTGGATCCCAAAGTTTCTTTTAAAAAAATTAGTAAAACTAACAAGTGACTTTAACAGGGTCATAGAATATAGGGTAAATATACCAACTTTATATTTCTTTATACTAACAACAAACAAAAGTACATAAAATATTTAAATATAAATCAAAATATGTGCAAGTTATGCTTGCTAAAAATTACAAAACATTTGTAAAAAAACCTATACAAATGTAAAGACATATCATGTTCATGAAATGAAGACTCAATACTGTTAAGATGTCAATTCTCCCCAATAGAATCTACAGACTATAACATAATTCCAGTGAAAATTCCAGTAGGATTTTTGGTAAAAATAGACAAGCTAATTCTGAAATTCACATGGAAAAGCAAAAAAATATATAAATAGGAAGGCAGAAGACCCAGAATAGCAACCAAAATACTGAAGAACAAAGTTGGAGAACTCACACTACCCAATTTCAACTTACTTCAGACAAAATGAATCTAGGGGATTAGAGGTAATAGTCACAACTCTTTACGTACCATCTAATATAATCTCAAGCTATGTAAACCAAAACCTAATAAGAATGAGTGAACTATAACTACATTCTCAAATATACTCTTGAGCAAAAGCAGCAAGATACAAAGAGTACATAAAAACAGTTAATACTAATCTAACATGCTAAGTCAGAATAGTGAATATCCCAACATCCTTCTAATGTCCTAGCTAAATAGCACCTGGTCAACCAAGTGTTATTAGGACAGGATCATGAAAATCAAAACAGAATGAGGTATCCATTTACACAGAGACTTAATGTCTAAATTCAACAAGGTCTTCCCTCTGCAGTGATAAGTAGATTTCAAAACTAAGTCATTTTTGATATACTCTCAAGTCTAGAGGAAAGGTCAAAATGAAATGTTACCAGGATTAATTTTTAAGGAAGACTCAGGATTACGAAGACCTAAGGTTAATCCACTGGTAGTCTGTAAAAACGTGTATTTGATTTTTTTAAAATTTATTTTAAACAAAGATAAATTACATTTTCAACTAAAAAGTCAAATCCTGAAGTCCTCAATGCTTATAAAACTTAAAAAACGTAGAATTAGACATTTAATGAAAAATTAAGGCTTTAAGTAGTAGCAACACACTCAATTGACCAAAAAAACCTAAATCTAAGAAGACAACAAATTTCACTCAGCTGTACATGTTTCTTATCTGATAAATCAGTAAATGATTACAGCATACATTCATGCAATTAACAGGCACACAATAACTTCACTAGTCATCCAGTAATACTATATTTACTCAAGATTATTTTAACTGTGTATCTTGTCCTAACTAAGCAAGGACCACAACAACAAGCATGTTGTAAATTCTGGGTTTTACATGGCGTATCAAAGTTAAGATGACAAAAAGCAAAATCCCCACCACTGCTGAACATCAACCTTACTGTTAAAGCTACAACAGTTTGTACGGGTGAATGCTTCTAGCATGATAAATTATCATATTCATTTCATGAAGAAAAATACTGGTCCATCCTCTACATGATAAATTTCATAACGATGATATTTATTTAAAAGAATTTTATTCTCTGAATTTAAACATTTCAGAGTACTCCAAACTACCCTGGAACAGAGATGCACGTGTGCCAAGGACCTGCTCAGCCAAATTTATTCTTAAAAATTTAATAATAAACCATAGAAAAGAGAGGCAATTAGCAAATGTGATCCAGCTATCATTAATCTGCATCAAAGGATTGTAATGATGTACATTGTATGCCTTTCAAATTATCCTCTATTATAGGTTTCACAACAGAAGTTGAGGAATCTCGTTGACAAACTAGCCCCTTATTAAAAACCAAAGGGAAGTACTTTGCTACCATCTGTGCAACATTAACGCCTTCACTGAAGAATGATTATTTTGTAAGTTAAGAAGTATTCAGTTCTATCTAAAAAAAATAAAAACACAGCTATTCAAATGCTCATCTTCATCATTATAAAAAAGTCACAGCATATATGAAACAGTATGTAATTTGCCACAGAAAGACCGGCATCTCTCCTGAAACCAGAAAATAAAACTGTGATCCTATGAAAGCATCACCACAATTTTTTTTAATGTCACCAATACGAACATGTATTTCACAGAACCTGACCAGCACCTGTGAGGTCTAATTTAATATGAAGGGGCCAAGAGAAAATAAAAACTTTTAAATTTCACTACATTAGTAGAAAGCAGATTATGTTATAAAGAATAAGGTAAAATTATCCATAAATGATTGTCAGAAACATTTATGACACACAGTCTCTTCACTTTAAAATACACTGAACTGAGAAAAATCTATTCAAGTATTTAGAAGCTCATTATAGAAAGTATTACTGTAAATCAGGCTGCTTTATCTCCAGTATATACCATATACTGTGTCCAGGACTTGACAAGTTCTTCCTAATTACCCACCTCAATTACAGTGATTATATATTTCATAGTAAGTGCAAACAACAAGGTTCATTTGGAAGATAAATTGTGAACTAGAGGTTTTAAAAAAAAATAGAGAAAATGTGGGAGATGTCCAACCATTCCACCTAATTCACTTTCAACACTTGACCATTTAACCATAAGATCTCAGAGCTAGGCCTTAGAAATCACTTGATCTAATACTCTTATTTTATGAGGAGATCACTTCTAACTTCTGCATTATAATGGGGAATCAACCATTATTTGAACTGACTATTATTTCTCTCTACCTACTCACCTCATTCGCCTTATACCACTCTAAATACTTGCTAGATAAACTAACATAAAGGTACTACATAAAATATATTGAATAGATAACTATAAAGAAACACTCTTAAAAAAACTCAAATGCCCTTCAAGGTAGTTTGTTTTAAGGGACATTGGGAGAAACAATTGATGACAATGCAATTTACAATAAGTAGAAAAAGCTTTGCACCATGGAAATGAGATCTGGATTAGAAAATTGTATTTCAGAATTTATATTTCAGATAGCATTTATATATATCATCTTCTGTAAAAATAGCAAAGGAGAATGTTACCATTATTAAAGGAATTGTTGCAACTAAAACCTAAGAATTTGTTTTAAAATTGTTTTAATTATGTTTAGTCTCTGGGATACAAATGAAGTCTTAGCACTGCCAATTTTTCTCCAACTCAATTAAACAAACATAATAATGAACACCTATACTTCTAACAAAAGCAATGTGCTAAAAGTTAAAACCAAAAGCCAAGAAACTTACAATATGACCACCTGCTTAACCTAGGTCCTTGATTTCCTCATCTACAGAATATAGGGATTAAAGATAACCTTCCAGCTCCTAAAATTCTGATTATATATTATACAAACTGTGAAATTTCATCTTAAAGTAAGTGACATTAAAGCCAGCACTACTCAAGTCTGCTAAGGACTAAAGCAATTACTCACTATATAAAAAGAAAAATGAATACAAAAGGGGCTTAGGAAAATTAATCAGCATAATTCTCCCCCCAAACTCCACCTCTGCTCTTAGATGAAAAAGATGGCATACTAAAGGGCCTCAGATCCCACACAAAAACTGTTTCAAGCTCAGTAATTTCCCTAAATACCTTTTTAAATGATGAAATATTAAAGCATTTCTTAGCCATGGTCTACAAAATACGAAAACCACAACGACGATTCAAACATCACTAACCACAGCAAAATTCCTAGAGAAGTCGTCAATCTCATTCTTTGCACCCCCTGGTACTGCTCAGCAAGGGTTACTCTACTGCCCTTCTATCACCATTAAAAATGTGTGACATCACTGTTATGGGTTAAATTGTGTTCCTACTAAAATTCATATATAGAAGTCCAACCCACAGCACCTCGGAATGTGACCTTATTTGGAAACAGTCATTATGGATGTAATTAGTGAAAATGAGCAGAGTGGGACTCTGATACAGTATCACTGGCATCTTTTTAACAGAAATCTGTCCCAAACACACCTATAGGGAGAACATCATGAGAACATGAAGACCACCATCTACAAGCCAAGGAGAGAGGCCTGGGCCACATCCTACCCTCACAGACCCTGAAGGAACCCACCTTAGCAACATCTGGATTTCGGACGTTAGCCTGCAGAGCTACGAGATAAGCACTTCCTGTTTAAGTCCCCTAGTTCGTGGTGCGCTCTTTGCTACGGCAGCCCCAGCACGCTAACGTCACTGCAGTAGCCCTAAAAATCACTACACAGCAACTGAAGGATCAAATCAAAACATTAGGACAGATGCAAATCTCGGAGCAGCACCCAAATTTCAATGCTTGGCCAACACTCCTAACAGACCACACATCTTTAAGAATCTCATGACAACCACCTTCACAGAGACACGAACATTTTTCATATCGTATAACTAACTCAAGAGGCTCATTAATTCTACCCCTCCACCCCCATCACTGCCAAAGATGCACGGACTCTGATTAAGAACTAGTGTTTTAATCAATGTTGGGGGATCGGGGCACCCGACAGTACACTAATCTCTTTAGTTAGAAAATGAACACTATTAGCACAGTCTCTGAAAAGAAGGAAAAGAATACAGATGAACTTCATAATAAAACTTTTCCTCATTGTGCTTGTTAAGAGATTTACAACACAGCCTCTTTTTTCAAAAAGGTATTTTTAAAAAGGTGTATGTGTATAATTACATCTGAAAATCAGTAAAACTTCATCACTATAGCACATTTTATCATAAAAGAATGGAGTCTAATATAATAATCAGATTAACTAGATGAAGAAAACTTTTGGTAGGTAACTATGTTTTTAATTCTTCCTAAAAATACGGACTTGGTCAATAAGACTCAGAGTGTTTGCCTCATTTCTTTATTTTGTCCAATCACTTCACCATGAATAGTTGACAGTGACACATCACGTCAGAAAACTAAGATCAAAAGATGTTAACACAGAAATCCAGTCCTTTCATATGAGCCTTATCAATCATTCATGGCAACCTGCCAGTCAAGAACAGGTTCGCCTACAGAGACACGAGCTAAAATTACGTGATCTGGCCAATAAAAGGGCAATTTCAATAACTAATTATGAAGATTCAAAACACTTTACTTTCTTTCCACACCTAATTAGTTCTCAGCAGAAAGCACAATGGGAAGATACATAGTTAATACACAGAGTCTAAGGACAATTTGAAAAACATTAGCTCCCATTTAAAAAGAAAAAAAATGAATATTAGATTTTTGCTCTTTTGAAATGTGCTGGTCTAATTAATTCAGTCTAGAAAAGTGATCCATGGAAGAAGGTTATATTCTATCTTGTAAAAGTGTATTTTAGGGAGTTTAAGGACAAAATCACTATTCTATACATATTACACAGACATCATAAATGAAAAAGCAGGCAGCAGAAGTGGACTGACAATCAGAAGAAATGGGCTATTTCCCCTGCTTCTGGTACTAACTACATATGTGACCTCAGACAAGATCACTTAACCTCTCTGGACCTTCGTTTCTCATCTATAAAAAAGGGAGTCAGACTTAATTATCTCTAAGGTATCTGTAACTCAAAATAATTCCAAACGTTGTAAGTCTTAAAATCTGAAACGTGCCATTCAGAATTCCTGATAGCTCTTTTACACCCTTTATGTGATTAATATGAATTCATCAGTTATTTAACTGAGGGAGACAGTGCTATTTCTCACCTGAAAGCTCACCCTCATACAGCAAATTTCGAAGCTTACTGCAAAGCTGGATCATGTTGTCCAGTTGTCTGTTTATCTTCACATCTTGTATCCAGGCTGGGGTGTTGCACACTGGACATTCGGTTCCAATGCAGTCACTTACACAGTTACTGAAAAAGAATTAAAAATATATATGCAATTATCAATGCACTGAGCAGAATCTGAATTCTAAAAAATAAATATAAACAGTGTCTGAAGAGAAATAAACGAAGAAAAGGCTGTTCTAACAATGGACAATTATACAATATTTGTTAAAACTGTTTTTGAAAGAGTGTGATACACACATAAAATCTAAAGTTGCTCAGTAATTTGCAATGAAGAGACTACATAGCCAGACATTCATCTGTACAGTTTTCCCCTGCAAATAAATCTGTAGCTTCTAAAGGGCAAGAGCACAGAGGGGGACATAAAAAACATATTTAGTACGTAATACATAACAGCCATGTCTTTCAACCTCCCCTATGCTAAACCTTAACACTGTGCTTCATGAAAATACCTGAAATTACCGCAAAGAGACTGGGAAGGTTACTTTTGTTTTGGGACGTGTCTAAAGGCTTTATAGTAGTTTTTGAGAAAAGATCTTTGGTTCTTTCGGGTACCTGTGTAACTGTAGATTCAATTAAATTACCTTGGATTATCTATCCAGGAGTTACAGTCTCATAATTAGAAGGGTTTTCCTAATTTTGGTGGTTACAAACCCTTTGCAAATCTGATGAAAAAATACACAAGTTCTTGTAAAAAATAAAAAGGGGGGTGGGGGTGGGGGAGGGATCATAATCTCCCCTGAAGCCTATCTGTGAATTCCAAAATAAGAAACCTATAAATCCACTCCTCCCTTAGCCTCATCAGACAGGCTCTAGCAGGACTGGGTAATGTAACAGTCGTAAAAGCCTCATCTCCCCCAAACACTACGTTCTTTTTCAGGTGACCCACTCATTTGTAGGCACAGAAGATTCTTACAATATGAGCTCCCTTCAGAAAAACCCTGAGGCATTTCTTATATTTGTATCCCTAGATCTTAGCATGATTCCTGAATCAAAGTAACTCACTAAATGTTGTAAAGTGAATCTATAAACATACTGCAGCTGGAAGAGACCATCCAGATCACTGGATTCAATAAATGTAAAATTTCTTTAGCAAAGAAATGAACTTCTTTGAGTTTGTTTGCTCGTAGTTAAGAACTCTTAACTTGAAACCTCAACACATAAAGTAGGTAAACTGATTCCTCAGGAGACCTTAATGCAGAGTAACAGGAAGCCACTGAAGGATTCTAAGGTAGGTAATGGTATAGATGTGATTTACATTTTTAAAAGATCACTGACAAGTAGGAGAGGGGACCACTTATGAACTTATCACAATAGGCTTTGGAGAGATAATATGATGATGGCTTGGACCAAAGTGTGAACAGTAGTCAGTACAGAGAAAAGTGAGAAAATTCAAGATTGAGGGCACATTTTGAGGTGGAATTGACAGAACTTACCGATGTGGGATAAGGGAGAAAAAGAGGAATCAGGTAGGGCTATGGTCTCTGCCTTGACCAACCCTGCAGTCCGCAGCACCACTTACTAGTGTGAAGACCACTGAGGCAGGGAGGGGTTGCAGGGGATGATGGTGAATGGATCTGCTCTGACTACATCAAAGTGAAACCCTTTCACCCTCCAAATGGAGGTACCAGGTAGGTGATAGGTACTGCTTCCTACCCCATCCTCCTGCCGGATATGCCCCGTATAACAGATCCAAGTTTCTAGAAGCAAAATTGGGACCCTGAGCATAGCTGCCTCCTACACATCTCCAGTCCACTGAAGTCACACAGTAAATTATTTTCATATGTGCTTAAACTTCATAATGCGGTTTGCTCAGGCCAGTTAGTTTCACAGACATCACTGGAAATAATTAAAAGATTGATTCAAAGGAGGCTCTATTAACCCTGATCAAAGACAGTTAAACTAAGGCATTCAGTCTTTAAATGGGTTTCTCCTGAATAAGAAACAGGATAAGAAGAAAATGTAATATTATAACCTATAAGCCAGGGCTTTCATATTATAACATGGATATAATTTCACAACAACTGCTAGGACTTGAATTGTGTCCCCCAGAAGTTTTACCTACAGTCAGTGCCTGCGAATGTGATCTAATTTGAAATAGGGTCTTTGCAGATAATCATGTTAAGATGAGATCATCAGGGTGAGAGCCCTGATGCAACAGAACAGGTATACTTATAAAACGGGGAGATTTGGACACAGAGACAAACAAGCATACCTGAGAGAATGCCATGTAAACATGAAGGCTAAGAACAGAGGGATGTATCCACAAGCCAAGGATGTCACACACTGCCAGACGCCAAAGCTTCTCACCAGAAAGCAGGAAGGAAGCGTGGACAGGTTCTCCCTCATAGCCCTCAGAGGAACTAACCCTGCTAATACCTTGCTCTGGGACTTCAGGCCTCCAGAAGGGAGAGACAATACATTTCTGTTGTTCTAAGCCACCCAGTTTTTGGTACTTTGTTATGGCAGCCGTAGGAAACTAACACAATTACTATAAGTAGACTTTTATAATTTGAAAAGTCTAAATTCAAAACTAACTGGAAGAAAAAAAGAGACGTATTTGAATTATATAACAGATATTAATCTTCCCCCAAGTTTAGCAAAGCTGCTTATTAAACTTTATAACTTTGCTAAAGTCATCCTCTTTGAGCTTTGATTTCTTTCTTATAAATTAAGACAGTTATAAGGGTCAAAATGAGATAATGTATAATAAGTTACTTTGAAGTCTACGACAGTTACACAAACATAAGAAATATCATCATAAATATGAATACATGACTGCTACTAGTAAAAAACAGTTGCTACATATAGATGTATAACTACATATGTAACATATAATATATAATATATAATACGTATCACGCCATAACTACTTACCTACAGAAGATGTGCTCACATCTTCCTAAACACACAGGCTCCCTCAGAATATTAGTGCTGTTTGAAGAAAGGTAAACAATCAAGGCTTAGTCACTGATAAACATTTCATACCCAACATTTCATAAATCCAAGGCCCAACACTATTATATTTGTCTTTTCTCAAAGCAGAGGATATTAAGGATGTATTCATCCTGGTTAAATATTATATAACATACCTGTTGAATTCAAATACCAACTACCAAAATTCAGTACAAATTGTGACACTTTTTAATAACATGTACTGCGAAGTCATAGAAAGAAGTAGCTTTGTTCTAACATCTCCAAACCTCTCCCAACAGGCAAAACCAATCACTGGCTGCTGCTTTCAATTACTATGATACATCTTCACCTAATGATTCAAAGAGTCAATTATAAATCTGAAAATTAGACCCACAGTTTAATGACCATATAATGTACCATCTAAATGAGAGCACTTCTGAGAGTCAAGAAGTGTAATAACTGGACAGGATGCTGGGCCCCCAGGTCTAATCAGGACTATCCCAAGAAGATCAGGACATCTGATCACCTAACCAATAAGAATTCAATGTTCCCATAAGAAAACACTGGTTCCTTGCTCTTGTTAAGCAGCCACCTATTTTTCATAGGTGCCTTGTCAAAAACACAGCCATTCTTTCAGGTCACAGGAAGTCAATTGTTTTGTTCTTAAGCAAGTGAAAATAGGAATCATCAGGCGGACAATCAATCTGCAGACTGAATGAGATTTGTGGCATTGGGGTAAGTGAGACAGAAACACAATTATTCCCAATGCTGTCCATCAAAGTACCTGGCATAGTTGATAATCCTAAGGTAATGGTACTTACTAATAAACACACAGGAAGTCATTATATTCAGAGGGCATAATGTAGCAAAAGCAAACAGAAGTCAAGTTTTTAAAGGATGAACATGTTTTTGTGTGCTTGGTTTATTACACTAATCCTAGGGCCTTTAGGTATTTACACCCTTATTATCCAATTACTTCTGTACACATACCACATACCAATAAATAATTTTAACACATTTCTTATAAGATCAAAAGTATCACACTGCATATTTTAATAGATATGAATTTAAAGTGAAATTGAGCTTTCAGAAAGAGTGCTAAAAACAGAGTATGTACCCACAATGTTATTCTCAAGTTACCAAAAATGGTGTTTACTGACATTATGAAACCCATTACTTTGTAAATTGATTTTAGAGAGGGAGGAACAGAGGGAGAGAGAGAGAAACATCGATATGAGAGACACTGATCCATTGTCTCCCATACAGACAGGCCCTGGACCAGGATCGAACCAGAAACTTAGGCATGTGCCCTCACCAGGAATTGAACCCATGACCTTCAGGTGAACAGGACTTTGCTCCAACCAGTTCTTTCCGAGTCCTTAGTTTCTTAATAACCAGTCTTGAATCATATCCCAAAAGACAGATTTTGGGGGTGGCAAGACTTTGGTACCCCTCACAACCTTCCTATCACTGCTCACCAAAACCCCGTGCTCTCATCAGGACAGTGTCTGTAACATTTCTCAAGTACCCTAGGTCCAACTCTAAGCCCACACTTCTCAGACTGTTCTCCCCCACCTAGAACACACCTCCTCCTCCCCCAAAACTATTCAGGCCTGCCACTTTATCCAAATACTGTCCAGGATGACGTAATAAAAATGTCACTAAACAAAGCAGCATAAGAATCCTTGGGTGTTAGTGTCCATGCCATCGCTTCCGGTAAATCTGTACCCTGCAGAAATGTAAAGAAAACTTAAATAAAAATCTTAACTTCCAGAGCAGGAAGTCTTTTTAAAAGGGAGGGTTTATTAGGCCATTGCTAGCAAAAACGGAAGACAGGTCTTGGGGCATGGAGACAGACATGTACATCCTCTAGAGTTTTGCAAGCAATTTTATACATTAAGTAGACTAGGGAAAGATGTGAGCTGCTCTGATAGAATTTACTTTAGCTATAGACAAAGGGGCCGTGAGAAGGTGAAATGGGGCTAGTCCTGGGATAGGGTAACAGAGTCCTTAAAGCTACGTGTAAACAAGCCACAAGACGTGTAAACAAGTCCTGGGGTCAGCCGTGCCTGCTATTCTTTTTGGATAATCTTGGATATAGCCCCTAGAAATTAATTTAATGATTCCAACTACACTATGGAAGGTGAGCAGTCTTTTGTTGGTTTTGCACTGCAGTTAACTGATGAACCCCTTTTTGTCTCTTCCTTCCTCCCTCTGGTTAGTCTGCTGTAATTTAACAGGATTTTCTCCTGTGGACACAAGGCTGAATGCATTACACTCTTTCCTAAGGGGCTTATAATCTAGCTGGGTAGTTTTATAAGCCTAGTTACTATATATATGACTTAAAAGAAGTATAAAATGTTCTGAAGTTCCAGAGAAATGGCATCTAGTTGAAAACAATATCTCTTGTATTTTATCTGCCTGATTGTTTGTTTGTTTGTTTGAAAGTAGATTGTAGCCCTACAGACAAGAGATCATGACTTTCATTTTTTTCTGAGCTTCCCCAACACACTATTACCTACCTAGCATGGTGCTGTATCAACAGCAGGATTTCAATAAATCCTTACTGAAAAAACCAAATAGAAGAGTACACGCAAAAACACATATATAGTAACAATTCTATTTGGTCCTTCCCTATTTTCTGTTTAATATACATACATATTAGAAAGAAAAAATCGAGAGGAATAAGAAAAGGAATCTGCATGGTAATAGGATTTCTGTATCTTGAAAATTCCCATTGCAGCCACACTTCTGTTACTTTACATGTGGCTGGTTTGGAAAGATCGGTGCAGTCAGAGGATTATAATTTAGGGAAGAGCTAAGTAGTAAGAACTACTTTTTTTTAAAAAAAGGCCCTATTGATATAAAATTTTCTTTGCAAAGAAAAAAAAGAAAGTAAATTCAGTTGAGATTACAAGGCAGATCTATTTCTTAACAGCTCCCTAGGCTTCCATTATATATCAACTACTATTAAATATTAGACAAGATAGCTAGCACAGTATTCTTACATGTAAGAAAATCTCCAAGGTATTTTTAAATGTGGAACACATACTTAACACCAAAATGCACAGGCTCTCCAAACCAATTAAACACTTTTCTATGTTTATCTTCACGAGAATGAAGAAATGTTAACAAGTAAGGGATATGGATGACATAGAAGCATCCTATTTTTTGTATAGCTATTTTATATGCCATATTCAAGAAAATCACATGGGAAAAATAAGAAGTCATGTCTAATTGTTTAGTGTCAATAACTACTGAATCAATGAGTCAAATATCCCAAAAGTGAAATGGACACTAGAACTCTATTAATGACCAATCATAACAGAATCTCCCGTGTGAGGTGAGACAGGCAGGTAAGCCACAGAGTCCTGTGTGTGCCCAACTGAAACAGTTTTGGTTATTTTGTCTTCTATTCCCTTTTTCCAAAGTAAAACGGCATCTAGGTAACTGCTGGACTTCATGCCTACCACCACCTTATGTTCGAATATTGAGTTTCAAGGCTCGGACCTAAGCATAGCTCTGTATCTTCTCTTCCCTGCTCACTTCCAGAAGAACGCCTTCCATTACCACCTACAGGCAATGTCTCAAATTTGTACTTCCAGCCTGAAAGCTCTCCTCTGGGCCTCAGATCTAGAGACCAAAAACTTCATTTGTAAGACCCTCCCCTATGCTATGGGTGCTCAGTGTGTTTGGTAAGTTTCTCTGGTAGTCACAAGCCCTATATAACACCAGGTATGTGTAGGACTGTAATGGGATTGTTCACGCTGTGGTTTCAGCTCAAAATCCCAGGGGGAAAGACCTGAACCTTCTATACCTGCCTGCCCTTAGTCATGTTTACTATGGGTAATTAACCCCAGAATCTTAGGGGGGCATTCTTGGTGATTCAAGTGTATTAACCAGGTCCTTCTAGTATGTCCAATTTCAAAGGCCCATTAAATGGGATCCTAACTTAATTCTTTCATGCGTCAATGTAACAAACGCTAAGAAGCTATGGGTCCAACACTGTGGCTGCAAATGTGAATCTGTCCTGATGAAATGTGTAGTATAACTGAAGACAGGCATCAACCGAAGAATCAAATGCCACATAAGTAAACAAATCCCACAATTTGGAGGGCTACATGATATATACCGAAAACCAATGATTTGTGCCCTTTTCTGTATCTATGTTAACCTCAATAAAAAATTTTAAATAGCACTCAGTAGACACTAATAATTATGGAGTCTGTGAACTGGACGGAGGGAGCCTTAAAAATCAATTAGTCCACTTTGCTCATTTTTATAGAGGAGGACATTTGTCTCAGGAAAGCTACACAAATTGCTCTCCTTGGAAGTAACTACAGGCGTATCTCAGATATACTGCAGGTTTGGTTCCAGACCACCACAATAAACCAAGTGTCACAATAAAGCAAGTCCTAATCGTTTTGCTGGTGAGGGGGTCTTGCCTTCAGTTTGTAAAAAATGCAATAATCGGAGGTATGCCTCCATCTGAGCCAACTGAATAGTCTGTTAGGCTACTAATCACTCTATGATTTGACCCTGCCTTAATTCTCTACCTACCTGACTCACTCCACCTTTATTCTAGAATATTTTTTAGCATATTATTTGCTAATAATTCCCCACCTGGCTCCATTTTAATAAAAATCTACCCAAAGCCCAATTTAAAAGCCCATGAAGCTTTCCTCCACTGGCTCCACCCTAGTATTCTTCTTTGCATTCCCTTGGCCTTCACTGTAATTTACCCTGAACTGTGTACACATTTTATCCCTTAGAATTAAGTATATGCTCCTTAAGGATAGGGAATGTCTCACCATATCCCCACCAACAGTGCCTCAGTGACTGCTTATTACCCTGATGAACAACTAGCTCCAGAACAAACCAAAAGGAGCGATCATCTCATGTAAGGATCACTGGCCTATATGAATGCCTCTGAACATTGGAAACTCCCAAAGAAAGGCAAAAGTTGACTGCTGAAGTCAAGAAATCTATCCTTTATTTTACAAACGTTCATAGAGCACTTAGAATGTAACAGACACTGTTCCATGTAGCTCAAAAATATTAATTCATTTAATTCCCACAACAACCTCATATGGTACAAACTACTAATAATTCATTTTGCAGATGAAGAAAAAGCAGCATACAAAGATGAATTAATCTGCTCAAAATCACTGAGTAAGGATTTGAGCCAGGGTCCAAAATCCATGCTCTTAACCACTAAGCTATACTGCCTCAAAACTTGATCACTTTTTAAAAGACAAGAGATAATTCAGAAAAATACAATCACCTATTCTGAAAACGGCAAGATTACTTTTTGACTTTTTACTAAAAGATGATTTGAAAGGTGCTAGAACTCCAAGTTACAATTGTCTTGGATGACAACCTTCCCCCACAATAAATTGTTGAGGTACCTAATTATTTTAACTCCCAAAGTGGTATCATATGACACCTCAGCTTCACACTGCAGCTCCTGCTATCATTTCCTGCTTCCTTTAGGAACACATCATTACTCTCCTTTCTACCAGCCTCTCACATGATTTGGTCTTCCTGTCTCATTTTTCCAAATCTTTAAATAGTCTCTATCTGGTTGTGAGGCTTGGACCTATCTCAAATGTCACATGTGGCCTCTTGAACAATTTCATCAGTTCACCTTGGAGCAGTACTTATGCTAAAGGTCAAGAAAGAATGCCCTGTAATGCAGCTAATCCCCCCTCACCTGCAAGTAATGCTTGCTGTAAAATCACTAGCCCTCTGGGTAGAGCTTGAAACTCTGTAAAAGGACATACATACTGACACACGATTTCTAATAACATGACGTGCTTTGAACGATGGGTAGCAAAAGCAAGAAGCAGACCATCCTGAGCTGCTCCTTTCGAGCAATGATGCCAGGCAGCTACTAGGCAAAGGCAGAGGTGAAAAGAATGGTGTTTTCCCCCTATGGTTAAGGAGCACCCGGTCATGCTGTATTCACTACAGGCAGTGCAAAACATGCAGAGATACCAGGAGCGGAATGCAAAATCATCTTATTATTAAACCCATGTGGTATAAAATTTTACACCAACAAGGATTTTTAAACAAGACATTTTACCAGTTATAACAGAGGTTGGCAAAGTATTGCCTAAGTGCCAAATTAAGCCAAGAGGCTGTTTTTGTATAGCCCTTGAGCTAAAAATGTTGTTTAGGTTAAGAATTGTAAAAAAACCAAAAATATAAGAAAAGAGACTGTTTGTGGCCAGCAAAGCCTAACATATTTACTGTATGGCCCTTTACAAAAAATGTGTGCAGAGCCCTATGTTAAAATCTGCATTTAAAGAAACAGTTGAGATTTAGTTAATCTATTAGTGGTTCACATATTCGTGTGGTTGTTTTTAAATCACTGGAGTTCAACATCATTCTCCAGCTAAGGGATAAGTTGTATTCAAAGTCCAGACCTAACTACTGACATCTACTTTCAGTCCTATATGGCTCTTATTGTCCGCTCACTTCAGTAGGAAACTGGAAAAATATTTGCTAGAGGATAAAAAGTGAAACTGGCTTTATTAGATTTCAGGGCAACCTAGAGATTACTCATATAAATCACCTATCTTGTTTCCTCCAAACTACTCAGCAAGCAGACTATGATTTTTTTATATTTTTATAAGACATCTATTAATTGTCACTTATTCTATGACAACTACTATATACATTTTACATGTGTAATTTCATTTAGGT